GAATAAGATATTTTTGCGTATGAAATTTAAGTTAAAGCAACATAAATTATAATATGGTTATTTACTAAAGAGTCAATGTAGAATCATAGTTTATGTTAAAATTAATAGCTCTTAAAATATTGATGACTAAAACTCTTACTTTGTATAAAACTAATACACATAATTTCAACTTGGGATCTATTAATTATGATTTAAAATTAAATATGTTATTATTATTGTTTTTTTATAATTTATATCCAATGACTAATAGACTATAATATCATGAATCTTATTTCTAAGACACTAATGTCAAAGGTATTCTGACTGCTAATAGCATTCATAACTATTACTATAATATAAAGATTTAAGCAAATTATATTGGAAATAGTTAAAAAAAAAATTATTTAGAATTGATTTTGGTTTTAGTGCGAAATAGGTACAATGAAAACCGGATATAAATTTAATCGAGTTAAGATTGAATATCCATCGAATTCATGACTTTCACTTTTTTATAGTTTACTTAGGCTACCCTTTTGAATAAATTTTATCTTAAGATAAATTATTCGGTAAGTTATAATAAATCATAGTCATGATCGTGGCCTTTCCCATATTTAAATTTGCAATTTAAGACTATAACATATTGCTAGGTAATTACAAGATAGCTCCTATACTTTAAGCTTTCTTGACGGTTTGCTTATGGTTTTCATCAATGCCAATAAGACGATTAAAAATAATATTAAATCATTGTTTCTTGAATAAGTAATTAGAGCATAAAGAATAAAATATTATTTGCAATATTATTGAATACTCATAAAGTAAAATAATAATTTATCAAGCACGTAGTTAGACTTTATTTCGAGAGGAGGTGGATGGCCCAAACGAAAATATCATCTTCTTTACGCAATACTATCAAGATATATCTGCAATTTACCTTTGAACATTTTCAGAAGGTTATTAAGATCTCAATTTTTATTTTAAATGATATGACAAATCATGAACTGTATAGGTAATATAGTTCACGATTTGTCTAGATGTCAAAATTAGTATGTTTAGTAGTTAAGTATGTTTTTAAAAAATGATTATAAGCAAAGTGTCTAGAAAAAATTACAGACCAGTAATTGGAACATATTTATTGTAATGTATGGTTATTAAAATAAAAATAAAATTAGTTGAATAAAACTGAAAGATAGTTAAAGCTATTGCAGTAAATTGTAGTTTCTAGCGGAAAAGCGATTGATTAAGATACATTAAAATTTAATAAACATAATAACGTGACATGTAACAGTAGTCAATGGGATGTCGTAGGAAGATTTGTCGGTTAAATGATAATTATGTTCGTTAACACGATTGGAATTTTAAAACATTTATACAAATTAAGTGTCGATCGACGTGAAGATCCTTCAGTCGTGTGAACTAATGTCGGAAGGCTATTTTTAGATTTGTCTCTATCTCGCTCGTTTTACCTTTACGTGTGATAATATAACGTTACACTATTTTATTGTATTAAGTACCGGGTTTTCGGTTAACGACCTTCTGACAATTTACGATTTTTAAACTCGTCCTCTACATGGTCGCATCTGGCCATTCTCCAAGCAAACAACAATGATTTCAACCTTAACCGATGATTTCTGTATAATCCAGATAGCTTTTAGCAACTTGGACAAAGAACGTGCTCACCCGACCTTCCCGGCGGCCAATAAAAAAAATTAAATTAAGAAAATAAACCACTAAATACTGGTCAATCACTTTTATATCCGTTCAAGATGAAAAATATTAAGAGTTTGATTTATTGTTTTCAGAACTGAACTATAAATAATTAATACATAAAGATCAACATGCTCATCTCAATATAATATATCATACGATTTGGGGTTAAGAAGCTTTTTCAGTAATGATAATTCCATATTTTTGTATCTCAAGCATATTTTCTTAAAGTTTTTGTTTAATTAAATTATGTATTCTAATTAGGTTTCAAGAAAATATATTTTAAAAAGGGTTTAATTAATGCAACTATTCTGTTGAGTTTCAAATCGTGGAATATGTCATATAATATAAAAAGTCGCGGTGTATACAAGTTAAAAAATATATCAAATTAATTTAGAATCACTTTCTAAAAAATAATAAAAACTTTACAGTTTTTCCTAAAATTGAACTACGCAGTTTGAGCGAATAATAAGTTTTGTGTCAGTTTTATTACATGAAAAATTGAAAATGATGTACACGACTTTTTTAAATTATCGATACTTAAATGAAAATATTATTTCACATAAAATGTTTAATGATAATTTAAAAAATACACTGTGTAACAAAGAACTTATTTACATCAAATATTAGGAAAAATAAATATCGGCTTACGTTCTTGTACGTAGAAATTGCTTTTAATTTTACGTTTAATGATCAAAGTAAACTAAAAATATAAAACGTATCTTAATTGTGCGCAATTCAATAATACACTTCATCGCATACTTTTGCTATATAAAAAAATACTATCAACCGTCGAATAATTTATAATTCTAATTATTAATAACACAGGCGCACTAGTGTAGATAATTTTCCTGTTATGAAACTACATGTGTTTTTAAATATTTTCTTTTTTTAATTCTTGTTTCGCACGTTATAATTATGTGATAATGTATAATATCATCTTTTACATTATTACAAGAATAAAAATTTTTTTTTGATTATTGAATTGTTGATAAAATAACTATCAAATAATTCCTCGCATAAGTTACTGAATAGGAAGTATCTTTATTTGTATTACATCATAAAACGTTTCCGACTGACATGAGCCCATGAAGAAAAAATCTAATAAATTATTTTATTATATCAATATCTTGATCAGACTTAAAATTTTAAACTATTAATAATACTTTTTTTACACATTCACACCAGCAAATAACACTGTTCAAGGTTTTTGACAACACATCTAAGTACTATTAATCGTCACATTAACTAATTTTTGGCACGTGAACTTAATTTTATTCGTACTACTCAAACATTATTTATTGAAGGCCCGCGATTTTATTTGTTTTAAAAGTGAAGTTTTTTAAGTAGCAGACAAGTTGATTTAAAAATTCAACTATTTAGTATACATAATAATTATGTCCTTAACAGCATCAGCACGTTCAAAAATTTTTATTTGTCACAATGACATGTTCAGGATTTTTTAAGGATCGAGTTGATTTTTCACGGAATTCTCTAGAATGTTAATAAAAATCTAGCGACTTCCTTATTTTTGTTGTATTATGTTATAACGTTTTTACTCTTGTATCACTTCATTAGAAAAAAATCACTATTTTTATGTTAAAGGTGTTTTACTTAATTGTAATAATTTAATGAACCTGATTTCAAATATCAATATTTCTGAATAAATGTAACTAGATTTATTCTTGTTTTGAATTATTTATTGTAAATAATACGTATATACATTATAAGCTATTCATAAAATTATACTCCGTTTTCCTAAAATAATATACGTTTTAAAAAAAAATTTAGGTTAGTTTTCAACCACTTATTTACTCAAAACTATCAACGTGAAATTTGTTATTTTATATGTATTACTTTAATAAATAATTGAAATCGACTTAATTATTATGAGTTCTCTATTTTTGGTTCTTAATCATTCTGTTTTACAAGTTTTTATTTCTTCCATGAGTTGCCGCCATGTTATATTACATCTAAACGAATGTTTATTGATAAAGTAATTTTTTATCAAATTTCGATAAATGGATAATGCGATATTCATTGACGGGTTTTTATTGATTAAAATTGAAGTTATTTATAGGACATAATAATAAAAAATACTTGATTATTCGCCACTAGTTTTTCAATAAATGTTCACAGTACATATATAATTATTTTATTATAACACATAAATGTTCAAATGATTAAATGAATTTGCCAACTAAATGTTTATTGCAAATGAAAAACTTGTTTATCAGAAAAGACATATTAATTCTTAGCCCTAAAGTATTAATTTGTATTATATTTATTAAATAAATATTTGAGTTCATTAAAAAAAGAAAACTGAGTCAAGAAAGTAGAAAGAAATTGTCCATAATAATATTAACCAGTATCGATAATACCTGTCCTGTACAACAACCGAATGATGAAAGAAATGGGCACCGTCTCATAACAGTTGTCTGATAATGACAACACTTTAATATAGTAATAATGACACGTGAAAAATACACACACACATGTCGTTTATGTCAAATGGTAAAAGCTTATAGAGTTATACGCTATCGGCACCGCGGGCACGTATGACTACTGCAAATCGCATTTTAATGACCGAAGAGACTCATCAAAATATTTTTCAAACGTGTCCAGTGTGCGCCTTAAAACGCGATAGGGACAAATTTATTGTACTAAATAGCGTAAAAAACACCAGCACCTTACACGTTTAACATTTGCGTTGAGCGGTTTTTTGGTATTAAATGCGATGACACAGGGCACGTGCGAGAAGTGCACGACTCTCTGTTATCGCCGTTTTACAGTGCACGACGGGTACGGTCGGCCCAACGCAAGCTGTGGGCAATTCAGACGTGGAACTCCATTGATGTATTGAAATAACGAGCGATAGAATAGAACGGTTAATAGGTACCTTCTAGTCTGGTCCAAGTCACAGAGTCTCTATACCTTGAGCCTCGACGATCAACGGCGCTTCAGTAAACCGACTGCTTGTCCAGCGGGACGGTTCAGCTGTTATCGGTGGACCACGCGACCCGTTAACTGAACTCTAGTTTGCGACCTATTTGCCTCTAAGGAGGATACGACCAATTTTTTTCTTAATCCGAGACAATTTTTTTATCATGACAATAAATTGTCATGAGTCACCTTGCGCCGACACAAGTCGCCGGCGTCGGTCATTATACTGTAATTGTCCTGACGGATGCACTACATTATAATAAGTATTAATATTGTTCGTTGTTTGTTGTAAATTTTCTCATAATGAAACGACATTTTACTCTAAGAAAAAAATTGCAAAAAAATATCAAATTTATTTTGACATACGCAATTACCTTGACTATGGAAAAACCGTTTGATTTTAATTATTATAATTATTACTCTCGTCGCCTCGACTTCTCGATCACCAAGGATTTGAAATAATCTGTAAGGAAAATGTACTATTCAACTTTCCAAGTATTTTAGTCTTTTTTAATATTGTAATGAGTTTTATATCAAGTATATTTACTATCTTGCAAAACTCAAAATGAATTATGATTTCGTACCACCTAACACAACGTATTGTACAATACATAAGGTCATGAAATGGCCATTTGAATTTATCAATACATTAATTAATCACAACAACTGAACTTGAAGGTAGCGATCGACAAAGCAACACGTTTCGTTTGAGTATAATGACGACGTGAGCTTAGTAATTAAATTGAAACGTTACGGGTGTGAAAAACCGGTCTCGTATCTTTATTTGATAACAATCAAAAACGTTTATATTTATAAACAAATTAATATAAATAATTTCCTTTCTAATAAAATACCGAAAATAATAACTGTCTATTACTTAAAATTTTTAAAAATCACAGACATGGTTTAGTTATTCTATAATAGAAGGCTCATCTAATGGCTTAAATAATTATTTCCGAAATTTTTATTTTTAAAGTAAAATTTTATATAAGAGAATTGATTTATGCCAACATTTATTAAGTGAGGTTTAAGCCTAAAAATTTGTCTATTTTTGTCTTTTTCAACTTGGAAAATTTAACTGGAAAAGGAATCAACAACTAACAATACATTTAATGAAATTTAGTGTTTGAGGAGTCATAAAAAACTTACAATTATACATTTAATGTTCATTTTTACTATGCAACTATTATAGTAAACTACATGAAAACTATTACAATAATAGGTTATAAGATTCTCGTGTGGCCGCCGATTAGATAAGTGCAATATTGATTGTTAAATATTTTGACGATACTGGCGTTATTATTGTTTATCTAAGAAATTAATAATTAGTCGAATGATTCATCGAGGCAATTTCGAAATAAGTCTCCAGGCAATGCATTATGACTAGCGTCAATATTATTATTATTATTTATATACAATATATGTATTAGTATGTGTATTGTCTCGATGGATACACCTGTTAATGTATAACTGAACGAGTAAGATTGAAAAAAATTGTTCTTTTATAAAACAACAAAAAAATGAAATGTGTGGATCAAATTTTCAAATTAATTAATACGTTTCTAAAATATAGTTATTTATTATTATAATACTGTTGTTCAGGTTATAAATAATATTAAAAAAAATGTAAAATGTAACTACTTTTTTAGGAAGTAAATATTTGACGAGTTATATGTTGTTAACCCTTAAGCAGGCGCGTGGGGGTCTAGCATACCCCCACATAAATAAAAACGGATGTATTATATTGCATAAAAGGTGTACATAGATATAAATTTAGAAGATGGTTTTTATTGTAATATTGAATAGATTTTCATAAATAAATACCTTCGAAAAAAAAAATGTACGACTTAAAATATCCATCAAAGTTGAAATGGGTCATATTGACCCCCACGCGACTATGAACGTTATAATTTTTTTTTGGACTTGTATGTTTTTTCAAAATATCGTTTTATCGTAAATGCAATGTTATAATCGATATAATATTGTGGAATTGGGATTATGTGGATCTGCCACCGATTGTGCAATTAAGTTTTAAAAATAAATAATCTATTACTCTATATAATCTAATAATAAATAATCTAATTATCTACTACTCGATGATACGGAACAAATACGAACTAAACATGTAATAAATACATCCCGTCGCAATGTGGACACATTAATTATCGATGCCTCATTTACAATTACCACTATTCACATTTACCCCTCCTGACCCTACTCGTATTATAATAATTAAATTGTATTGTAATATTAATAATAAAAAAATTCAATTCAGAAAAATGATTATGTAAATATAAATACACATAAAACTAGTAAATATAAGCAATGTTTGAGCTCAAAGAAATACAAGAAAAATTAATCAAAATACATTTTGTAATAATAAAAGCTTTTATTTACCGTCTAAAAAATAAGATATTGCAGTTAAAATAATTTTTTTACAAACCAAAATTTTTTAATGAAATTTTGAAAATTAATTTTTTTTTTTCATAATATAATTTTTAGTAATGCACATAATTTTGTCATTTATTTATTTTTTAATTTAAATTTTTTAATTTTTATCCGTATTTATATATCATATGCTAACAAATAATGTCTTTGAATTAAAAAAATGAACTTTTTTATACATATTTTATACTTTTTTAGAAAGGGGGTCTAATAGACCCCCACGCGACTATGAACGTTAAAATTAGGTACGCGCCTGCTTAAGGGTTGAGAAATGATTTTTTAACAGTAAAACCACGAATATTATTTTTAAATGAAATCAATCATAATTTGTATAATGTTTGCATAATAAAATATGACTTTTTTTATAATATATCATTTTGAACAAGTAACACACAAATTAAAAAATCAGTAGGTATTTTATACAATTATATATATATAATTTTCATCCTATTATTACAATCTTGTATAAATTGATTTAAATAACTCTTAGTAACCATTAATTTTCGAATACAATACATTTGTTTATTGTTGCTTAGCTTTGAAACTAAAAAATTATTTCGTTCAAAAAATTGTTTTCATACTACTTACTTTATAACATAACACAATACTTAAATTGAACATCATAAAGATCTTCACAGAAGAATGTTAAGTCTAGATTCAGATTTATTTGATCGATTCAAGTTTATGAGATCTATTATTAAATTAATTTATTAATTATTAAATGTAAGCAAAATGAGAACAATATAGTTTGTCGAATACACGTTAAAAATTAATTAATCTTATTCATGAGGTTCATTGTCATTTTTCATTAAATCAAAACAGTTTTGAAAAATATGATTTTGGTAGTCATTTATTAAAATTTAAAGCTGAACTGTTTTATAATAATTTTAATTAAGCATATTGTTTAAAAATGTTTACTCGAAGATTTAAAAGGAAATGAAAATGTCTTAATAAATTGCTGACGTAATCACTGATGATAATATTACCACAAGTTTAAAATTTCCAGATTATCGCTATGTATTTTAACTTTTTATAAATTAACTGAAAGGTAAAATTATGTAAAACCTTTATTAAAATTTTGACGATAAAATTTGTGGTATTACTAAAACCACTAATAGTTATTACTAATAACTTATTAGTTTCTAAATTGTTTAAGAAAACCCTTTCAATTATTCGTAAATTTTTAATAATATTGAAAAATTTCAAATTTAACTAAGGTATGAGGCATATAGTAACGGATAAAAAGACATAGATGCTTATCAATGTTTCGATACTAAGTAATTTCAGAGGCTAAGAAAATTAAGAAAACGAGTGAAACATAAATCGTATTTGGTCTTTTGAATTTTATAATTACATGAGTCATATTGTCTACTGAATTACGCTTAATTGTTTATATTGATTGGACAACAAGTTATACAATGTCATGTGCTCAACCCGTTTGATGTTACAAGTATTAGTTATATTACTTGTTATTTGCGTACGTACACCTATAAGTAGTCAATAGTAAATATTGTCAGTTGGCTGACTGTGTTATCATTTACATTAAGCAATTGGTCAATCTACGGATAGAACACTACCAATGTTAATGTTAAGAGTATGACGAAAATTATTAAAACAATTACTAAATACGCAATACAGCTTGTTGCATGTAATTAATTCCCATGAAGATTAAAGATAAATTAGTAGTATAACACTTATACAAATGTTTTAATTAGTTGCATAAGATTTCGAGAACGGCTAATAATTGTTTACATTCTACTAATACAAATCAATTAAATTAAACAAATAACCAACCATTCCTGGCTACCCATAAAATTGCTAAAAAATTGCTTAGATTGTAAAATCAATCTTTCTTATTCGTTTGACTTTTCAGTTGTTTGTTCAACTGTCAAAGGACACTTTAATGTGCGTCGCATAATTTACTTTAAAAATAATTTTAGGGACACGTTTAAAAACCAGTTCTATCAAAATAATGGTCTATGATCATCGTTAAAGTCTCTGAAAGAAGAGCATATTGAAGAAATCTCAACTTTATAAAGGCATTTAGCGGTAGTTAATAATTTTTAAGGAATCTTTAGGGGTCGTGTTTGTAAAAAACAAAAATTTACCACACTATTCTCTTAATAAAGAAAGAAAATGTAGAAAAAATGTTTAATTTTACACTGATACCGGTAAAAAGTATTTAGCTCACCTGTGTCCGACGGACAGGGTTCGGGCGCCCGCTTTGGCGGATAGCATATATCGTCTATTTGTTTGAACACTCCTTGGTCCATTTTTCGGGATTTGCGTAGTCCCTACGACGAGCCAACACGGCGTTGTGATCAGGTCATCGCGGTCGTACGACGAGAGCCGGCCGGCGGTGAGTTACTGCAAACTGATGAGTTCCACTGCGGAGGTATCACGCGACGCGTCTGGCGAGACCGGCCCGATTTGCCCAAAGCCTTCTAGAAGCGATTGCGATGGTCGTGCGATCGCCGGTGTCCGGGCGGAGTCTTCCCCGGTGCATCATGAGTGGGAGCCGGTGTCCCCACGTGTCGCACACCTGCAGTTGTCGAAGATACTAAATGCAAGAGAAGGAGGAACGGGAGGACGACAGGATATTCCGGGCTTTATCGGTTGCACTTGCCGGTCAGGTCAAAGCCGCTACACGTTCAATGTCGCCGTCTCGTCGTCACCACTAACACTTTCGATCTGTGGTGGTCGACGGTTTTCACTAGGCGTTGCATATTCTGTGTACAAGTATCTTCCTCGACGGTTTCGTTACAAAAATGGCGGTCTTGGTCTTTAGATACCTAAGCGTTCTTCAATACTTGGCACTAGGTGAAAGGACAAAAGAACGTTTACGAGTTTTATTGCACCCCCCAATGCTTTGAATAACACTTTTTGGTAGACACGTTCTACACGTCGAATTCATAACATTCTATCCATACTAATATTATAATGTCCTTGTTGCGTAATGGCTTTACAATGGTAACTAAGTCTTAAACAAAGTTTAACCTATAAGAATGTAAGTTTAATCACGTTCTACACGTTTAATTATATATAATATAAATGTTCAACATTCATAGAGTAATTTTCTATCGATAGTTTATTAGCTATTATTATTGTTATTATATCCTATCTCAGTTGTCTAAAAGTCTGACACAAGGTTTTTATGATAACGTTTTGGATTTTTACTCATTATTTATATTATTATTATTATACTTAGGTTTTTATCTCGAGATTTTTTAGTAAACTGCGTTTTAGCGCTTATGATACAATTATTTTTATACACTAATATTAATTATAAATGCATTATCGTCCCTTTTTAATTTCAAAATCAATTTTTCCTCCCTACATTCGTAATTAATAGAAATGTACAAACAAATAGTAATAAATAATTATTGTGGTAAGTATTTTTTTTTTTACGTTAATACTTTGTCGTAGATAAGTTAATAGAGTAATCTTATGTGTAATATATCAACATATATAACGGTTAATAATTGACTAATGTGAGTATTCAACCTTCCACAGCTTGTATAACTAATGCTTAAATTTTGTGTCATTTTTCTTTATATTTCTATTATGTCTATACAGTACACTTTGTGACAATACAAATTTACTTAATAGCTATAACCTCCTTTTTTGGAGTTATTAGAGTTATTTGGAGTTATCATTTACGTGCACTTAGTACAAAATTGATTTTGAACGAAAAAAATTTATTTTATGTACAAGATAAATAAAAAAAGTCACTTAATCCAGTGCCCGACATGTTATGTGATATAATTTCATATTAATTCTCACAAGTAATTTATAAATCTCATGCATTCATTAGTTATATATTAATAAAGAAGCCATCTTATAAATAAACAACATAAAACTGTATGATTTATATTATTTTATGTTTAGATCCATCTCTCTACTTTCTACATTTGTTTGTATTAGTAGTTGAAAGATTCTAAACAAAACTAAATTTTTAAACTTAAAAACTTTATATAATAAAAATTGATCACTTGTGGCTAATTAATTAAGTAAAATTAAAAACTTTACTTAAAATTTTTTATGAGAAGACATTATGATCATAACTGAAAGTTTTTAATGATTATTTCGTTAAATTTTAAGAAACTTTTTTGTAGACTAACGATTTTAAAGTGAACGTGGAAGTACAATTTTTTGAAAAAGGCGGATTTTAAAATTATACAAAGAGAAATATTAAATTTTTAATTACGTTTGTTATCCAAAAATTGATTTCAATTGTAGCGATTTTTTAGGAGATTAAAAACAAATTTAATATTTCTAAAATGTCTTATGGAAATCGATATTTTTGAAGTGCAGACAAAAAAATATTCTTAATAAAATCGATTCGTTGTTTTTTGCCTGTAACAGAAAATCATTCTCTTTTATACAAATTTCAAACAAATCTCATAAGCTTATTTTTAATACTAATTGTAAAAGATTATGGATATAAGAAACAAATATTAGTACTCTGTATTTACATCGCAACCTCAATAAATTATGTTTTTTATATAAGTAAACATCTATGTGTAACAAATAACGTATTTAAGCATTATCAATTATAAATGTCGTTATATTAATTTAAATCTTTAAATATTTCAACTCAAAAGCATTGGCTCTGTCAATTTACTATTAATACATAAGATGGAGAATTCATGGTATATAAGAATTCGTAAAAGTATAGGGATTATTTACCGAGAATTATACTCTTTATAACACAAATTTGATGCAATATACAGTTTCAAAAAACAAGGAGACCAGTCAAATGTTAGAAACAATGAGAGCAATAATTTCCTTATTTGCTGAGCATACTATATATCCATGATATTGCCAATGTTATTATTATTTATATTGGTGTATTGTATAATAATGTGTACGTAAATAATTTGACAAATTAAATAAATTTAGATTCAATTTTATCTGGATCAGTTGTATAAAAACGGGAAATTGAAAAACAATAGTAAGCTTTACTTTTTAAATCTTCAAGGATACTCAATAGTTAAGTCAGGTATACCGAGAGATACTTTCTTCGTTTTTTTTTAAACTTAAACAGTTATATCCTTGTAAATCAAATATTATTACATGTAATTCAACATGTGAATTTGCAATGATAATTATATTCAAGCAGTTAAGGGCAATTGTAGTACATGAAATACTTACATCTTAAGATTTAAAACCGATTCTCTATGGACATGAAAATAATTCTTTCATTGTGTACAAGTTTTATAATATTCACATCAAATACTTAATAAAATTAATGTAAATATTCTTCACTATTTTTGCTAATGAAAATGTACTTAGAATTTTTACTAGAATGAAATAATTAAAATGAGATGTGTTTACAAGGTTCAGGTTTTCATAATATTCGATTACAAGTAAAAATATATTAAAACAAAGAAGCCATCAAACTTTAATTTGCAATGTCTTGCTTATTATTATTTAACTGATTATCATCGTCAAACAATGAGTCGTATAATATATGTTAGTATACAACTTATCTTTGGAGTTCAGTGACATATTTTTTTAGAATAATTTTAATTAAATACCAAGAACGTCATCCATAAAGTATACAATAAAGTAAAATAATAATCAGTATTAAAGCCAAGGTAATTAGTTAATATTATTCAAACGACCGCTGTCGGTTAATAGTAAGACTTGATGACAAATGAATTGTTGCCAACTATAAATGTCGAGCAATAATACACTAAACTACAGTAATTTTTAGTGAATATTTCTTTTATTCGGTAAAACTCGTCAGCAAAAACGGCAAATAGAAGAAATTATAACCAGTTTTTAGTAGGTTTCGACATTTTTCAACGAGCTTATTGAGTTTTAGGCCAATCAAAAAATTCCATCCTAAAAATACGTTATGCAACCCAATGTTAAAAATTCTTTTTTTTTACATTTTCTATATACTTACATACAGAAAAGTAAAATGGATTGGATTATACTTTATTGTCAGTATTATGTGTGTAAGACTACTGCATATACTCTTTTATTAGAGGACATGATTATTTTGTTTTCAAAATGATTCTAACCTGTCTTTTACATCATCAAAAAATAATGTAAAATTATACTACTTAGAATACTTAATATTACCCATTAACGAATATATATTTTTAAATATATTGATTCTAAAACAATATGTTTCTTTCTATTGAATAACTAAAATTTATCAAAAATGTTATAAACTGTAATCAAATAACTATCAATTTCATTTAAAATTTTTAATTAAATATAATAACTTTACAATAAAAAACTGTAGTTATTATTTTGGAGAACTCATTTGAAACACATGAAAAACTTATGTAAAATTTTAATTTTAATTTAAAATAATAATTATAAAATAGTTTTTTAGAAAATTAAATAAAAATATTTTCTATTTGAAGATAAAAAATTGAATGCTTTAATTGTACGAAAATGATGTTAATAAATATTTTGCTAATTGTTTATTATTTTGGAGGGGCGAATATGAAAATAGAATTAAATAAACCATCCTAATATTTTCCCAATTTAAAATAAGCAATCTAGTTATTAAATTTGAAATTTTTAAAATGTGTCAAAATTTATCTTCATTTAAGAGTCAATATAAAAATTATCAGAAAAAAAAAACAGAACAAGAAACCTTACAAAGCAAGTTTTATATTTTATCATTCAAATTGAATTCTTTGATTACCAACAAATCTACACTGATTCACCATGTTCCAAAACCGGAGTAGGAATTGATATTGTAACTAACGACAATATAAGTTAATATAAATTGAATTACTTCATTAATACATTTTCAGCAAAGGCATTAGCTATTTATAAGAGATTGGAATGGCATCTTCACTAAACGTTGAAGCACAAATGATTAAATGAATAAAAATGTTAAAAATTCCAAGACGGAAGCAAAACATTTTAATTACGAGTAAAAAGGTTTGAAATAAAATTGAAAATGATTGGAAGAAATACGGTAAATCTAAAAATTCATATTAGATAGAGGAAATTATATTACCATAATATTATTTTTACAAACTAAACAAAAAAGTTATCAGCTTATAGCGGATAACTTATTTGTCTGAATTTATTTTGTTTTTCAATTTTAGTAATACACAATAAGAATAAGACACTGCGTCAATGAGTTGAACGGCTCATTGATACGGATCGATAAAAATTTAGTTATTCCTAAAATAGTAATCTATGGTAGTCCTATCTAAGGAGCCGTTTTGCTGTCATGATCTGTTGAAACAACGGTAATCGTATCTAAGTGATTAGTAGAGTTATATTTAGACATAGACCTTTGTGTTTAAAAATTTTTGATGTTCGAAAAACTGTTTATTTTTAAATTATCATACAAAATGTGTATATTTTTACTCTATTAGACTGATAATCATAAAATAAAGTTTAATGCTTCCGTTTTTTATCAGGTCATCGTTCAATTTACTATTATTAGAATCAAGTGTTGTTTTGAACATTATGAATAAATCATTTAGGTCGCATAACCTTGTGAAATGACTTAAAAACAATTTGTATGTTTAATCGAATAATTACAATGTTGTCGCATCAAAATGATTGATTAGTAAGTATTTGATTAACAGGTAGCACAACCATCACGTGTTTAGATGACATAGGTACCACGTAGCTCTGCTAATATTAAAATGTTGTTAGTTGAGACTGACTATGGTGAACACTGTGAAGTTACAGAAAATTAAATTACATAAATTTGATTTCTTAATATCTTGGCAGAATTTATCAACTCTTGACTTAGACGATCAAACAATGTCGAAAGTTCGAGTGTCAATTTGTATAAGGTAATTTTTTAAGTCTAACCACGCCTCATAAATAAAAGTTAAAAGTATGATATATTTGTCAGTAAACTCGTGTTAATTTCCCTTTATCTGTGTCATTAATTGCGTTATTACTAAAAAGGCTAGCTTTTTAATCTTGAAATGTTTACTAGATTTAAAAGATCCGTTAGGACGATTCTCATCAACTGTTTCTGATATACATTATTATTTCTGTATACTGTATTATAATTGCTCATACCGTTTTTGTATTTACTATCTGTATGCTAAATTGTAATTACAACCAATTTTAAACCGTCGGGTGCTCGCTTAATGATTCCCGTCTCATGCTACTGTAGTATAGTTGTACAATCGTAATTAATTATTGCACTATAGTTGTAAGTAAAATATTCAAATGTATGTGCGCTCTGACTGTGACACGTTTAACTAATAAAAATGAGTTTCGATCCGAATAAATAACAAATTCTTGTCCTATGTACCTCGCGAACAGATTCAAATACGTTTATAACGTTATGCTAATGCCAAACCGTGCGGTTTCCCTTGAACTTAAATGATTTGTGATGCAACGATATCACTATTATTTTATTCAAATTAAAAGTATTCATTTTTTGTCACTCGTCGTCTTTGTACAGTGGTCATAACAGAAGCCAGTCAATGCACAAGATATACCACTTAAACGCACTTGACATAATATACCCAGTTCGATCAGAGAGCACTCGGTCTGTAACCTTTTTCATGACCGTGTAGTCTTCCTGATGTGTGTCGACTCAAGGTCACTACGGTAATTTCATTGAAAATTATTGTCTTGCGTCCATTCGAGATAACATATTTCGTGATCAATATTTAGGGCAATTTATCTTCAGTAAATATCAAAGTGCTCATTGAGTGAATTACTATTGAATGCCACGTGACGTTATAAATTGGACATCAACTCGTCCTTGGTATCTTAGCGAAGATGTCGACTTCCGGACAAATTTTCATTTGATCGATTCCTATTGAGTGATCGCATTAAATATATCATCGATAGTCAACTAGGTCCAATGAGCGATGCAGCGATGACATCTCTAAAGTTCAATGAAACTCACATGTCTCAGTGAGATTAAACTAATAAAAATAACGGGAATCGTTTTTGAATAATTCTTCATCAAGTAAAAAAAAAAATTTGTTATGTAACGTTTTTTTAAAACACATTGTTTATAATTTATATTCTAGTTTCAAATTTTTGCTATTTTTGTATTTAATGTTAGTATTATCAGTTTCATGTTAATTAAAACATTTTAAAGAATATATAATTACTAGTTTTCTTTTTGGTGTAATCTTCGTGACAGTAAAAACAGTAAGGATGATAAAATATACAGTTAATTCGACAATATTATGATTGGACTTGACTTACATTTCTTGTACTTTTCCTATGTAGAACCGATACATATTATTACAGCCAAAAAATTATACATCTAAAAATCTTCTGCAAAGTAATGTTGATAATTCAAGTATATAGTACACAAAATGTGTTCTTTTTTAATTATGGATGGTAATTTTTTTTATTCGGGTACACAAACTCTGTCTACCAAAAAATGTTTGTCTTCCCAATATAATGTATATACACAACATAATTTCTTTATTCTAAATATGGACGTTGCTAAGTATTAATGAACGTGGGTATGGGGATAAAACACCCCCGCGATAACTACTTAATTATGATCATTTTAGCATCCAGTCGTTAAATTTAGAAAAATTATAAAGATCATTTTTTTCTTTGTTGTGATAAATAAAGATTTAACAAATTGGTATACAACACTATTTAACATAGTAAAAAAATTAATTTTCCTGTCCTATATTAAAGATGTCAACTCTTACTCTCGAGAAAAGTTTTTCTTTAAAAATTTGAGAGTTATAAATTATTATTAAATGAGTTTAAAATTCAGCAAATTTAACTAATATTATCAACAAATATTAATTTAAGACCAGAAAATTTTTCAAAATTTCATTATTCTTAGTTTGTTTTAACTCTTAAATCTTATTTCCAACAAATACTAATTATAGTGTAGATGAGGAAGTTTGAAATTCTACATAATTTGTTATTGATATAAATCACAAACACTATTTGTAATAATATGTAGTTATTACATAATATATTTTTTAAATTATTTTACATGATTATTGATATCAAAAGGTTTGATTCTCAGTACAAAATATATTTTTTAAAAACGATATTATTAATTAATACAATTTTACATATGTCCTAGACATTAACACTAAAAAATAATAAGTTATGCTAAATGACATTATTTTCAAGGGAATTCCAATTTAACAATAATAAAATCTATTTAAATTGACCTCTTAAAAGGTAACAATAAAAAATGTAATAATAAATTTAACTCAATGTATAAAATTATAAAAATTCTATTTTACACAAGTTTTTGTTTTGAGGTAAGATCATGATTTTACTATTATTAGCCTTCATTAATTAATTCATTAGTTATTTTAATTTTTTTTACGTAATTCGTATTTTTTATATTTTTAAAACTATTAAAATTGAAGTTAGTAAAATGTATTACATAGTACATTGTAAAATGTTCATTAATTTCACAGTAACTGTAAATTACATAAAATTAATAAAAAATATAATAATAATTTGACTATCAAAAATTGGTTTATTTTTTTAATTTTTCTCGAAATTTTCGTTGCATTCAAATATTGTTATTTATAGCACTAATATATTGAATATTTCTATAAATATCATGTATTATATGTGTTTCTGATAGATAAAATTTACATATTAACAAATATCATCGGGTTAACCTTGTGCATGTTTAATTTTGTTTTTTTTTGTACTCGTCTTTCAAAGTTATTAAAATATCTTATTATTTTACAAACGTGTCTATTATTATTTATATTACTATATATCATTACCTACAGTAATTAAATATAAGTAATTAATTAGTAGAAAATTTCTGTCTTTATTACATGTGAATTAAGTCGCAAAACAATAATTTTTATATGATAAAAACTTAATTAAGTATTTTTTAAATAATAGATATACAAAAACAGACTTAACAGAAAACTCCTTTTATAGTAGTCTCATTAGTTTCTGCTTAGTTGGTAAACTGGAAACAAACTTTATATGATGAAAATATAATTATATTTAGTATTTAGTATAGCTTAAAAATTTTATTTATGTATAAGATAATTAAAATATTATAATTTATATTAAAAACATAAAATAGGTATAGGAAATGTTGTTTTTCTAATAATAGAATAATTAAAACTAGGATCTATTAGAGAAAAAAGTTTTCTTTTAGCTTTATCATTACTTATAAAAATTATATTAATTAAAAATAAACTTTATGATTATTGTTCAGTTTTGTTTAAAGAATGAACACATAAGAATATTTATTAAGAAATATGACTCAATTTAAATATTAATTTCAATTAATAGACAATTTGAGTATAGGGAATTTTTGGTACTTTTTATTGTTCCTGAGTGCTAAGAATTTTCATGGATAGACATAAAAAAATATGGTGAAAATAATCTTAACATCAAAACTAAAACTAAACAAACATTTTTACAACATTTTTTGTTACGTAAGGGTATTCTTAATTTAATTCAAAACTAATCAAACACAAAATTATTTAAATTATTTTGAATACAGATTGAATTTAATATTAAAGATTAACACTATGTTTTATGATTATTCATGAAAAAACAATATGTTTGTCAGAAACAAAAAATTCAAATTAATAGCATTCATAAATTAAAGCCTTAAATTTTATTAATTATTTGAGAGTAATATAATGACGAATTGATAAAAAAAAAATGATACCATGTAATAAAAATTATTCTTATTAGTCTTTTTATTAATCTTCTTTTTTTTAATTTTATGATAGAGCTTTAAGAGAAGTAACAATTTTGTATTTTTTAATATAAAATTGTAAGGATAAAAGTGTTTTAACAAATTATTTAAACGCAATTATGCAATCAAGTACAAGTTTGATAAATTACTTAATACCAACTGATGTTTACATCCCAAGGTCAACACTTAAATAAATGTAAAATAATTTATAGGAAAAACACTCAAACGTCATATACAATTAAGTATAAATAAAGAAGTTACGATTTCTTTGTGTTATACTCAATAAATTCAAAGACAATATGAATTTTTTTGCTAGTAACTGCTTTATACCTTTATTGATTTATAATCCGAAGAACATAGGAAGTTTTTAACAGGATTACATATATTCCATATTTTAATTTTACATCAAACTTTTGTATTATTGATGTGTGATTTATAGTTATCTTATGTTGATAATACAATGAATGAAGTAAGAAATGTTTTATTTACAAATAACACCTACATTATTCCAAAAAATGATAAATTTAATTTTTATTCAAGTAAAAAATTTAATCTAACGAATATATTTTTGTACAAAAACTATCCTATTAGTGTCAGTAATGAGTTTATTGAATATTACTACTTGATTAATTCAACTATTTTCTAAGTTTGATTGAATTTCAGCTAGAGATTGGTTTTTAGTTTCTGGTACTTTATGTACGACAAATAACATTCCTAAGAAACAGAAACCTGAATAAATGTAAAAAGTACCACTCGGTCCAAACAATTCATCTAAAGGAGCTGCCGAACATGTGACCAACCATAGGAGTATCCCGTTAGTTGCAGTTGCGACACCCATTCCTAGTGCTTTAAGCTATAACAGAAATGTTTTGGCTTTACCATTAAATTTAAATAAAAAAAAAAAGAGTTTAAACTGTAAATTCGCATTTATACAAATTTAAGCCACATAAATATCTGTTTTTAATAAGTCATAATGTTAAGAATCCAAGGTGATTTTTAAGTAGAAATACTTAAAACATTACCCTTAAAACATATTATAATACTAAAAGCATATTATATTCTTAAATTTTTAAACAAAAATAATTTAATATATAATTTTAATAATATAATAATACTACACGATAACGTTCCATGTTTAATGGACGTCAATAGATATTTTAAAGTATTTTAATTATGTTAAATTAGTATAATATGAATATTTAATTTTGTGTAATCGGAGTAAAAAAATGTAATTAACAAATTTTTCTTAATTAAGTCAGATAGAACTTTTACTGTAAAAGCTGTAGGAAATATATTTATTAAAATTAATTTTGTTTGATTTTTTTGTTTACAAAACCGTTTATTAAATTATTATGGTACCTTAAGGTGTATTTATATTTTTTATTGAAATGAGCTCTTTTGTAATGAAATTTAAGTGCTATATTTTATTTCATTAAAATAATTTATTGCAACAAAATATAACACACATTTTTCAACGTTTAAAATAAATAATTAAGTACAATTCGGAATTTACTTTATTTGCAAATTTGTGTTATTCGTTTTTATGTTCAATCATAATTGAATAATTTTAACGAGAATAAATTAAATGGCGAGATATTTAATTTATTACACTTGTTTTATTTTACAGCGTATTCTATTAAAACGTGATACGCATTTGATAAAGACTGAAAATAGATGACGAAAGATTTTAAGATACATCACTCAAAACATTTATTTAAATTCCATATAAATATTAAAAGGTTTCATTATTCGTTTGCATGAAAATTTACTCCAAACGTTTTATGTCGAAATATATTCGATTACGTTTATTATTTTATTAATTTCTTTACTATGAAAATAAAAGGAAATGAAGGCGTCTAATTTTAATATATTATCTTAAAATAGTATAATGAAAATAAAACACTAACCTCTGATGAGAAAATCTCTCCAATTACAACATAAGGTGTTGGTCCACATCCAACTGAATACATAGCAATGTAAATTATAATAGCCACCAGAGGCGAATAACCCAATGACTGAGCAATCTCGTACTTATTATTTTTCAAAAAGTAATAATACGATAGACCCAACAGACTTATGCCCATCGATGTAAACGAAAAAATCATCAGCGTTTTTCTACCATACTTGTCCGTAATAAGCGTAGAAATAAATACCATAACTACCTGTAATTACGAAACATTTTTATTGTACTAATCGGTTATCTCATCGAAACTAAACTTTCGAACACATCCGTTATTAAATTGCCTATACTAAACGCCGTGTGATTAAACACTTTATACCTGAATAACTCCTACAAAGATGACGGATTTTTCAGGACTTATATGATCGCTTGAACTTTTGAGCATATCTTTCATGTAAAATATCAGCACATTAATACCGGACATTTGTTGAAAAAACATACATCCCATACCTATAATCAGTGCTTTGCGATTGACATCCTTTTCTATTAGCTCGCGAGCTGTATAACTAATTTTCAATTCATTCTCAATAAATAACTAAAATTATAATAAAATAAAAATTTGTATGTAATACATAGTTTATACTAAATTATTAACAAATTTAAATTTACTAATGCTCTCTTAAGTTCATCTTCTTCTTCTTCTCCAACGCGTCTATCCCGACTACTTGGGGTCGGACACCCATATCATACACCTCCACTTGACACGTTCCCCCACATTACCTATGCACACATTAGCAGTCTCATATTAACCCCAATTATATCCAACCACCTCATTTTTTGGCTTCCCTCTTCCTCTTTTCCTTTCAATGTTCATTTCCATTACAAATTTTCAGCTTCCGATTTTTCTCTTCTCATAATATGACCAAACCATCTCTCTTAATTTTATAAAATTTATATAAAAAAGAAAAGTTACAGTTTAATAAAAATAGGTCTAGAAAAACACATTACCTGTATATCTTTAAGTTCAGTTGTGCAGTCATGTCTAGAATGTCGAAGTCTAGCTATTTCTTGATTAGCTTCGCTTAGTTTGTTAGATCGAATTAAATAATATGGCGATTCTGGCATAAAATATACACTGATAATATGTACACACACCCACAATGAGCATGCAATGTTTAGTTGGAGATAAGAAAAAATTTCTCCTAGTACATATGAATATAATATGCCAATAACAACGAATAATTGATACAAACCACCAAGGAAACCTATAACATTGATTAAAAGAAATTTATGTCTTTTAACCATTAATTTAAAATTATTATTATATTTATTTAACAAGTACATCATTCACATAAAAATCACCTCTTATATCTGCTTCAGCTATTTCGCCGACATAAGCTGGAATAATGGCACACATCGCACCACTACCAACACCTTGCAGTATACGTCCTATGTACAGTGAATGCTTGGTCATTGGAAAAGCTATGATAAGCCATCCAAAGAATACGAATATTTCACTCATTATCAATGATACTCTGTGTCCAAAAACAGACGATACAGCTCCTGAAGGTATCGCACTGATTGCTATACCTATGCCGAATAAAGAATTAGCTGTAACAACTTCCGTTGAAGCCACTTTAAAATGTTCTGCTACACCGTCGAGTAGCATTTGCAAAGATGGCGATGACCATCCCAAAATAGTACCAGTGATAAACGCACCCAATGAGGCTATAAAATATTGAGGAATATTTCAATATAATTGTCTACAAAACTCATACAAATAATCAATATATAATTTTATGTATAGTAAAATTTTAATTTTTAGGAATAAAAAAATATATTCTGTGAAAACATTCTCTATGCCAATATTTTGCTAATCCTACTGGTAGGTATAAATAAATACATCGACTATATTAATTACGTTTTCATTTAACTAAAAAAGAGTAATTTTTCCTCTGTGGTATAATAAGCAGATGCATACAAGGTCATTATGATCACAAAAACAACCATTTTACTAAATTATTATTTTAATTTTTTTAAATTGAAGCATTAATATTTTTTTCAACAAAACTGTAATAAGCTAGTTAATGACTTTACTAGATTTTCAATGACTATGTGATAAATATATCGCATACAATATCCATAAAAACATCTATATACTATCGAAAAAAAGATAATTAGTTTTTGAGTAATAGTAAATGACTTAGATTGTCAAGAAATATAAATAAATAACATTTTACTATATTGAGACATTGAAAGTCATTTAACTTATAGTTTAATGAACTAAAACGGATTCAGTTATACCAACTTAAAACCTAAAAACAAAAGAATAACAGATTTAAACAATTGTTATTTAGATTATTTTTCATTTCGTCTATTTAAACACAACTGAATGATAATTTAAAACAAATAATATTTAAAAGTTATTTTTTGATTAATACGAATACTTTAAAAAGGGATGCCTCTAACACATGAGACTATATCTTCGTTAATTAAAATTTTAAGTACCTTTATTAACTAAATACCTTTAACTCATAACTATCCATTACTAAATTTAGAATTATTTTTAAAGAAACTATTTAATTATTCATAATGAATCCACGACTCTTGATATGATATACATCATCCTAAATAGTTCTATATTAATAAAATAAACAATATAATCTTTGAATTATTTCATACTAAAAAATATTTTAACTTTTTACACGTATATGAAGCAAAATAAAATTTAAATCAATTAAAATCTGTTTCTTATTCCATTACAAATAATCGCGTCAAAATATACAAAAATAAGTTCTATGTTTACAAGTTTAAATATAATTTAATAATTGTCAGTCATTAATTTGAATTAACATTAAATGATTTCTTCAATTAGCTATTCTCTATTGCCTTAATTAGTTAGAATAGTGACAAGAATCTACTTTGAATGTTATAATAAATGTTAGATTCAATAGATAATTTGTATAAATTATTTACACCAATAGAAGATTTAAAGGTTACATATGTACAACTGTGAATTTTATTAATTAATTAACATTATGTTTTGTAATTATTAATTGTATTCCAATTAAAATAAATAAATATAATAATAGAAATAATAGAGCTCATGACGTAAAAAAAGTACAATTATATGAATAGTTACAAACCTGAAATGGCATATATTATCTGACGCCTTTTATTCTTAATTTTTACAAACATCATGAAATTTGTTTGCTTCTGTCAACTTGAGCTGTAAAAGTTTTGATCGATTACCAACGATAATTTTCTTTAAAACCAACTGAAAATAATATTTCTACTGAAGTGGAAAAAAACATACTGTTGTTTGAGGACATAATTCAGACTTTCAGAATAAATAACTATTGGTCAAATAATTGGCCAAATATGTAAAATTATGGATAGTTAAAAATTAACTGCTATTGTGCATTAGTTAGTATGCTTAATGTTTTCAAGGCGTAACCTTACACTGTTTATTAAAAACATGTAATTGCTACTGAATACATTTGTATTCTTAACAGATACGTCAGATACAGCGAAAAGTATCGTGATTTGAGTGTTTAATGTTGTATTTTTAATAATGAAAATATAAGCACATATTGATTGCAAAATATTGCTAATGCGTGTAATTGATTGTTTTTTCTTAATTTTAAATAAGACTATTAAAGTGTGATGATAAATGTTTTATTGTAACCGAAATTAAACTAAAAATTTTCAAAAGTATATTGATGCCAATTGGGCTTTGTATTAGTAGAGATGTGTTATTATATATTTTTAAATATTTTCATAAAAAATTTAAAAACATTTCTATTTTACTTTAAATCCAAGAATATATTATCTTGTCTCGCTCTCTCCTATAAACAAATGACTTTCGGTCAGTTAAAATTTAAGTTTATTCTAAATTATAATTAATGAAATAGCTATACTCATATATTCATCGGAATTTTTGTAAAACTTCAAATGATATCTCTAAAATTTTTACAATATTTTATTTGTCGATAAGTATAACAATTTATATTTATACGTAGTATATATATTGACGTAAATATATGTATTTTTATAACAAACCAAAAAAAAATATTTTTTTACGAATTTTTGTAAAGTTCTTCTTATAAAACTATAACAAACGATTAGACAAAAACACTATTCCATTTTTTGGCAATAATATCTTAACACAAAAACACACTCAAGGAGAATATTTACGGTCATTTTCATTATAACGGTTTTGTAAATTACATTAAGTTAACTTATATACTCTTAGTAACAATAAGAATTTTTGTTACGAATGATTATCAATATTAAAATGTTCGTAGCAACAAGTAAGTATAATTAACAATACGATATTAAATTATACATAGAAAAATTTAAAGAGATCATCTGTATATTATTCCTGGTCTTTTTAATTTTTTGAGAAATAATGTGTAATAACTGTGGAAACCGTGAACTTGCTTAACTACATACAAAACGTAAAAATTAATGACATTGAACTTCCTTGAATATAAATAATACTAGAAAATATTGGTTACGTGTATTTTACATATTTTACGACATATCTTTGTGAAAAATAAAATAACATTATTATCAAAAAACACATATTTTTAGTTTTATTAATTACTCTGAAATAACTTATCCACGTGATTGTGTAAAACTTAATTATATTTTTTGTGTATTATAATGTAATTAGAAAATAAATAATAAATGTATAAAAGTATTTATACATACATACAGTTCTTACTTCGATTGCATCAATATAAATCAATTTTATATAATATATTGTAGTTTTGTACTTATAATTCAAAATTCATAGATTTATTTTTTAAGTTAATCATTTGCAAATGAATATTCTAACGTCATATCAGCCTTAAATGAATCCGTCGTATTGGTTTTTATAAAATACAGCATATAATATTATAATGTAGTATTTTTTAAGTACTAAGCCTTGCTGTTGTTTGTAGCTTTTTTTCCTGCTAATTGTGTTTGAATTTCTGATAAACTTCTGTTTTTGGTTTCAGGTACAAATAACCATGCAAAAAATGCAGCCAATACGCAAAATGCACTAAATGTGAAGAATGTACCATGATTACCTATCCAATCAGGTAAGTCTTTTGAAACATATGTAACTACGAATACCAATATCCAATTACTAGCTGTAGCAAGACTGGTACCGTATGGTTTTACCTAAAATTTATTGAAGAATAGTAAGTTTGTCAAACTTTCTTATGTAATAAAATAAACGTGTTCATTTACTTCTGTAGAGAAAATTTCTCCCATAACAACCCAAGGTATTGCACCAAAGCCTAAGGAAAAAGCTGATATGTAGATTGCAATTGATGCCAAAGGTAACCAAGTTATTGATTTGGCAAATACTGGATCGTTATTATGAATTATATAATAAATTGCTAATGCCAAGTAACTGACAGCCATCAGAGCAGCTGAGATTATTAATAGAATCTTGCGACCAGCTTTGTCGATCAAAGACATCATTACGAGTGTCATAAAAAGCTTAAATGAAAATTTCGTACGTCAATTAAACAAATAGTAATATAATTCATTTTAAATTTCAAACTCACCTGAACAATTCCAATAACAATTGATGCCATACTTGAATTGATATCACCTCCAGTTGATTTAAATATATCATTCATATAGAAAATCACAACATTAATCCCACTTGTCTGTTGAAAAAACATGCAACCAATTCCAATGTACAATGATTTTCGGTTCACGGAATTAGACATTACTTGTGAAAAGGTGTATTTTTGAGCATTTTGTTCTTCAATTTCTTTCTATAAAATAAAACTCATAAAATTATTTCAGTTAATTTTTCACGGTTTATCCAATTTTTTTCCTAATAATCATCCATTAAAAAAAAAAAAAATTAATTAAGAAAAATGAAATCATTACTTTATTTTATATTTTTAACACAACTCATAGATATAATTAGATCATAATTGCAAGACATGCTAAAATGTGTATACTTAACTGGCTCTGAATCTATTCATCAAGTTTATTGCAATGACTTTTTTGGACATACCATTAAAAGTTGGAGGAAGATACTTTAGAACTCATTAAAAACGTAAATCAAGCTATCCGTGTTAAACTTTTTGAGGGTGGGATATTAATTTTCAGTATAGAGGCACTGGGTCAAGCAAGTTGGGCAATGTCGCGCGCTTTTCACAACGGAAGAACTAATTTCATAAATTGGGCTACAAAAAATTAACTTGTTATAAATGTTCGATTTATTTATTAATGTACCTTAATTATTTCTAATTCGTGTTCAATGTCTACTGAAGCACCTCGTAAATTTTTCAACGATTTTCTTGCCTTTTCCTCCAAGTTTTTGCTGAGATAATAGTATGGAGACTCTGGTATTAACAACACACCAATTAAATGAATTAGTGACCAGATTCCACAAAGTATGCCAAATGATACGTAACTCACTATAGCTCCAAAAATATATGCATATAATATACCAATAACTACGAGAACTTGGAATATTGAACATAAGCTACCTATTTCAACAATACATAAAATATTAATTAAAAAATTAAACGCATCTAAACAACATACACTTATAAACGTATACAAAATAAGATATTATATTTCTTTAAGAAATATGTATGATAAAATGTATTAAAATAAAAAATTATAAAATATAAAAGTTATTTTTTTATAAAAATGTATAAGTAATAAATGTTCTCATTTCATCCTTTAAAAAAACATTTATATAAAGAGATCATCTGTTGTAAAATTGGAACTTAATAAAAAAAACATCTTCAGCCGTTATTTTATGAGTTATTGGAAAATAAAATTAGTTAATTATGACAATTAACTTATTTAACACAATTAACTTATAATTAATGATATAATTTTATTAAGATACAGAGTTGTAATAGAATAATACTATCATTTTTATCTCCAAGTTTAACGAATAGGTATTTCTAGTTAAGTATATTTATCTAAATTAGAAAGATCATTATTCTATCCTGAATTTATAATTTTTTAGTTTTATGGGTGGAATTTCTTCCGTAATATCAACTTCAAACATTAATGTGTTACGATCTTGCAAAAAGAACTACTTAAGGTAAAAATGAATTACCTCTTATAGCTGGCTCAGATATTTCGCCAACATATGCTGGTATAAGGGCACACAAAGCACCTACCCCTATACCCTGAAGTACTCTACCGGTATTTAACATCCATACAGCTTTTGGTATAATCAGACATAACCAACCGATGAATATAAAAATTTCGAAAACCACCATGCTAAGGCAACGACCCAAAACGCTAGCAACAGAGCCAGCTGGCAGTGCGCCAATGGCAGCCCCAATACCAAATACTGAACCATAAGTTTTTGTATCTTCTTTGTCTACTGGAAATGGCGAAGGGAAATTACCAGACTCTAACATACCAACCGCTGACGATGACCATCCAATGATTGTTCCCATTGCCATGGCTCCCAAAGTAGCTATACAATATTATAAACATAAAAATAAAAAATTTTGTCAAATTTAATAATAGGTGTTTGATATTTTTCCAAAACTTTAATTAATAAAAAATTGAATCACAAAGTTTACTAATGATAATAAATGATAATTATAAATTTCAATTATGATAAGTATAATATTTACCGATAGTAGCAGAATATATTTGTGGTAGATAACTTTTACTTATGGTCATTTTGTTTGATTAATATTCTATTCAAAAAAAAGAAAAAATTATATTCAAAACAATTATAAAATGATGGTTTTTACTTAGCAATTTCATTAACATATTATTGATAAATATTTTATTTATTTTTAAAATTTGTTTAAATGTTTGAAATTATCGTTAAAACGGCAATTATTGAAGACCAGCGTGTAGTCATTACGGTGGGATACTCAGTACTGCTTTAAATATACAACTATTAATATCATACAACGTCTGTTTGAATGACGAAATATTGTTTCTATGGGAGATTGAAAATATTTTATATTTGTGTTAAAGTCCATATTAACTTTTAGGGTATTGGATTACAATAAATTCGATACTTATCAAAACTGTTTCATCGCTTTGTGAGGACACTTTTAATATTCCTAATTTTAATAAAGAAAAGGAATTTTTGGATTTAATACTATAAAATATTTAAAAATAACCCCAAAACGACAAAAATGCATAATTAATGTTTTATTTTCGAATTTTCTATTATATAAATCGAATTTAGCATTTGGAGAGCATCATCTAAGACAATCCTAAAAAAAATTCAATATGCATTGAAATCTGTTATCAGTTATCATTATCAGATATAATATATCAATACAATTTATATAAGATCATTTAAAAAGATTTATACATATTAAATACAAAAATATAAGTTGAGCAATTTTAAAAAATAGGTAAACTTAATTAATAACTTGTTTAATGCGTTTCTCTTTAAAAAGAAGTAGGGGTACGCTAAAAAATCCAAAAAATTCGATAAGATACTCAGTTCCTCCCTACATCCAATTAAGCACTGAATAATATACTTAATTAAAAAAGTATGTTACTATTATTTGAAACTATATTACCATAACAAAATATTTCAAATCAAACAATTACATTTCTACAAGACCAAAATAATCTTATTATACAATAAAACATTTAAAAATTAGCCAATCCTGGAAAATTAACTTAATGAAATACGATTTTCAAAATTTTTTTTTTTAATGAAAGAGTTTGACTATGTTATTCTAGAAAAATTATTCCCGTAGATGAGAAAAATTTTTTTATCACACCTTGAGCGTTTAATAATCTGTAACAAATTTTTTGTAACAGGTTGGGTTGGGTACTCATACCAGAATCATATAAGGACAGCTCGAAGGTCTAAACGCGCCGTGCAGAAGGCCTATTGGGCACCGAGTCTGGGGCCGAGCCCCAGTTAGGCGAAGCCTATTAAATTTATATCATCTATAAATTTTACAGTTCTTAATCGTTATTGTCTTGTTTGAAGTAATTTGTAATTAATAACATGTACAATGGACGATTTCGTATCAACGATTTAATTTTTGAATTTTAAAAAGTAATTTCATCAATTTAAAACACTGTGTACGTTAATTATATACAACAACTATTGAATACTTACACGTTTTAAATAATCTTCACATCTAATAGGACTGACGAAATGTATTTCTCAGAACCTATAAAAACACAAGTAATTTATATTTATCTAATATTGTCGAGCTATAATATTAATTTAATAAAAATTAATCAAATTAAAAATATTATTTTTTATTCGTATGAATTGATTATTTATGACTTTAATTCATAATTTAAGAATGATTGTAAGTTAAAGTATTTAAAAAAAAATTCTTTTTAAAAAAATATGATCATGGATATAAATGGACAGTTAACTTTTGAAGAAAACCCAGTGCGTAAGGTAAATATTTTACCATCGCTATTAAAAGATTTAGTGTATTTATGAATATTTTAAGTACCATTCATAAGTTAACCCCATTCATAAATAAATAAAAAAATTGCTGATCGAACATTTTGATAATAACAGCTGTTAAATTTTCTTTCAAGTTAATAGCTTATTGATATTTCTTAAACACGAAGGAAAGCTTATAAATGACCTGACAACGTCTTTTCTTTTTTATTTAAATATATAAAAAAAAATATTCCATAATTAGTTTAGGAACTGCATTTATACAGAATGAAACAGATCTGACAACATATACAGAGTGTATAGTAAGTAAGGAAACGGGTTTCTGTTGTTATCATTGTTTGTAACAATTAACCTGTATCCTTACTTACTGAATAATCTTTATCACTTATGATCTACATAATATTTTGTACTTTTTTTTTAATCAATTTTTACTATGTAGGACCATATTTAAGATATGTTTCTGTTATTTTTCACAATTACAAAAAATATTGTAAAAATTAATTCTTTTATAAAAAATTTTTATAATTTGAATATAGAGCCAATTTAGAGATAAGTTTTAAAGAAAATTTTGGTACCATAACTTTTCTTTTTAATTCAGTAGTTACATTTATACAGCATTATGAAGTTTCTTATATTTTGAATTTTTAACGATTTTCTATAGTATCAAAAGTTAAGAAAGCAAGTTTGAATTTTTGAACTAGCTTAAATAATTCTTTTTATCTACTTGTACATTTAGGCACGATGGCTTCGTCATATAACACAGTTTTATACGTTTGGGGTACGAAGTTCAAACCTCTCCAGTCAAAATAATTTTTTTTGCATTTTCTTAATTTTTTTTTGATGTAAAAAATAAACTCAAAATGAATAATTATAAATAACATTCAATCAGAGTATTCAATGAATATCGAGGATCGTATCATTGTAGTCTCCCCTTGTTAGAAGGAATTTCTTACTTGACTTGACTTTTACAAAAATGATTATCTTAAAATTTATTATAAAATGCAAGAAACAATTTTGTATGTTATCTACAAGTGTTTGATGGATAGGCAAATTAAAAGAGATTACATTTATTAATTTGAGTGATTCTAACATTGATATTATATGACTATAGTATATTCATTGTTAGGAAATTTGATAATAAATGTGCTTATTCAATATTATTCGCGTTTAAATTTAGGAAACATAAACCTATTTAATTAAAAACTCAAATTGTTTTAGATAACGTTTTTATAATTTTTTCATATACTTTATTTTACTACATGTTTTTTTATTCAATTACAGATGCTTATTTAAGTGTTAATCATTTCTATGGAAAATAAATTATATACATGATATCAAAATATGGTGGAAACTTTTGTATACTTTGAATGTCTGCGTTTAAAAAGTTGAAAAAAGAACCATTTAATGTGTGATTTTATTGTCAATTTGAATTCAATTCTGATAAAAAAAGGCATTATTATTTGTTAAAGAGTTTGTAAATAAGACTTTCAAGCTAGGAAAAGATAATTCTCTCATTTTAACTTAAACGAAAGCATATAAAAATATATTTGCAATGCAGGAAAAAAAATTGTATATTTACAAAAGACATTAAAATACATTCCATATAAATGTTTAAATTATTATAAACAGTTCGAGAAACCCTCAAAAAAATTAATGATTTAAACTATGTATTATATTTTAATAAAATTGTTAATATTCACTTTATAATACTAAATTTTTATAAAAATATGTTGTTTTTATTCACATGCTACTCTAGATATTTTGATATAAGTTGATAAGATTTTTAAAATAAAATAAGTAAATTCTGAGAAATTGTTATATTTTAAATTTTAATGTTAAATTTTTTTTTTTTTTTTTTTAACAAGAATTTATACAATGACGAAATAAAATTGTGAAGTCAAGAAAAAAAATCCTTTTAATGATTTACATATTTTCAAGTCATAAAAGTCATAGTAAAGTATATTGCTATAGTAATTTTGGTACATTGCATATAACCCCATTTATGTTTTAGTAATTTTATATATGAAAAGTTTTATGTAACTCATTTGTTTATGAAAAATGACTACATTTTTGACATAATTTATGATTATTAACAGTAGCGTAGCCAGGATTTTTATTTGGGGACTAAAAATCTCATTTAGCTTATTATATGTTCTTACAGCACCAAAGTCATTAGCTATTTATAGTAATAACTGGCTAATAAAAAAGATTATAGATAAAATCTGATAGTGTTTAAAATCATAGAAATCGCTTTGATGGAAATCTGTAGATAATGTTTAATTTTAAGAATAAAATATTAGGTTATTCCAAAAACTGTTTTTTTTTTAATTATATCCTGACTACTAGTTTATGATTTATAATACATAAATAAATGTTCATTACAGTAATTAAATTTAGTATGAAATTAATATTTATTAATTTTTTATATTTTCAATAAATTTATAATAATGAAACAAAAGTATTACTAAATACTTTTGTAAAAGTAATACTAAATATTAAATATTACTAATGAAATTTTTATTTTTATACAAACATTATTCAAATAGTTAGACCGGTTTATTATATCCATAAAAAATTATATGATTATGGTTTTTAGAGGCCGATTGTTCATAGTAGACAAATCTTCTTTCTTTCTTTTTTTAGTATAGTACATAAAATAACCTTGAACTTGGTTCAATTTTGAATAATGTAGATGATATGTTGCTATGCATAAAACATTAAATATGCTAATTTTACCAAAAATTGTATGATTTTAGACTTTAATGCCTATAACTTCTAAAAATGGTGATTTTGGATAGAATTTAATTTTTAATCTTAAATGACATTGTATAAATTTAATGTAAGTTTAAAGAACTTTAAAAAACTAAAGGTTTTTTGGAACTTTGTTAAAAATTAAAATGCAAAAAAAGTTGATATGATTTTTACGCCACCACAAAACTTATATAAAATAAATAATTGAATTTTCATAAAAAAAAAAAATGTCGTCAGTAAGGAATATGTTTGAAGTGTTATCAATAAAAATGTCGTCATAATTCGTCCAATTTTTAAAAGGTTATTTCCATTTAAAGTGAAAACTAAAAATATTAATATTGACTGTTTTATAACATTTGTAATTTTTTGGGATATTTCTTTATATAACAGAAATTAAAGAAAATTATTCAAAATAATGGTTCTGAGAACTTTAACAACTTTTATGATCTTTTGATGTATCGTCGAGCAAAATTTATTTATTAGGAGTGGAGTTGATGGTGTATACGAATATAAAAACACATCAAATAAAAAACTTTCAAAAGTGTGCCAAATAGAAGGTAACTCCATTTTTACAATAATTATTGGCGTTAAATAGAGTAGCATTTTTTGGTGACAATGAATGCATATACATGATTCTCAATAAGTATAATATATATATAGACTCAATATTGTATTTTTCCGAAAATAAATAAATATACGAGTATTATAAGTATAACAATAATAACTATGAGTTTACTCAAAAGTACCATTAAATGAATATGTCATCGTATTCAACATATAATCTTTTTCATTCAAATTTATAGTAAGCATTTTTCTATTAAACCATCAAAGAAAGAAAAAACGCATTTTGTGTAAACGTGTTAAAATGTTAGAGCAGGTCGCAAGAAGGTAAATACAACATCCTCTTACGGAATTCAGTTTTTTATGCAGTTAACAGACACATTCTTTTATAAAAAAACAATGATCATTATAATGATCAAACAACTGTAAGCAATCGTTGACAACTAATAGTATACTTTTGGTATGCAATGATTTCTGTGCAATAGGATACGACAAACTGTAAAACGACTTGTGTTACACACCTTTGAGTTCTCGTACAATAAAATAAAATTAATGTGTTATTTTTGTCTGCTATACGTATGCACGTTAGATGGCGCATTTGTTAGTTTATTCCCAGTTACTCTAAAAGTTGAAATTTAATGTACTTACTATTATTTTTCATTACATATTTAGTGAATATTGTGCGTGAATGTTTTTGATTTATTTATCTCATTTTTAAAAATACGTTCAAACATTGTTTATTAAGAACTTAATAAATTACTGAAAAAAATGTTTTTAATTCAAACTCTAGTTGTTTTGTACATAGTAATATTTTTGAAGTTGCGTCAACAATTAGGAAAATAGCTAATTTTTACTTCCATTAAAATGTTAAATATATATAAATAACAATAAAATAATGTAGAATTATATTTTTATGTCTTTTACACATTCTTTTGTTGTCTATTTAAAATTTTTTACAAACGAAAATTAATTAATATAATCAATATAAAAATTTAAATTTAGTAGTATGAGTTAAATGATGTCGTACTTTCAAAAAGAGGAAACACGTACTTTTTAAACAGTTTGTATGACAAAAATATGTTAACATTCATAATTAAAATAAATTTTTTGTTTACTGATTGACCTTAAATCGCATTACGTTTTAAAGAACAGAAGGTCAATAGGTTTCCGGATTGGCGTACCAGAAAGAATATATAATTTAGGGTGATATTGTTAGTTAAATATAGATGATAGGTTATATTATAATGTTATATAATATAACCTATTCTCATCATCTATATGATAATTCCCGAAATTCAATTATTTTCTTATTTGTTTTTATATTTTGTGACAATAAAAACTGTTAGTTATTAAATTAATTATCTACATTAAAAATATTTGAATATTAGATAAAATTAAAAAGTCATTAAAAATAAATTATGATCGTGATAGATATTATAAATTTAAACTGAACATTAATTTACTTATGATGAAGTAAGAATAGTAATATAACAGTAAAATTATTTACCGATATTCAATAATCCATCGTAATTTAATTCGTGTTTGTTAACTTTTATACACAAAACTTTATCTGATAGAATAATATTACTTCAATAAGCTTAAAACCGCACGTCTCTTTACTGTGCACTAGTTAAAATGTGAGAAGAATTAATCCATTTTAATATACAGTTGAGTAGAGCTAACGACAAGTACCGGCACAGATGTGCGTTGATAGAAAGATGGAAAGAGGGTATGTCAGCCCCTCCTTAATAATTTCAAACAGCGATAAAAATTACACGAACTAATTACTAAATCATCATTTTAAGTATAAGCGTTGAAACAGTTTTAATTTATAAAAACTTGTATTATTTATTAATAAGCACTTTAAGATTGTTTTTGGTAAAAATACAAAATAAACCTATACCAATTTCATACACCTTTACAATAATACTGAATATTGAATAGGTAATTTTCAAACAGATTATTTATCATCAAATATTTTATTTTAGGTTAGGTTTTCTAAAATGAGTTATGGAAAAATATGTTTCAATATAAAAGTTTCATTTGTTTTTATTCTTTTTACTTTCAACATTTATCCTTATGCGGTATTTTCCCTCATTGATTTATTCATAGATATAGACGGCTATAGTTTATCTATTTATTTCAACTATCTAACATTTATTGTTTTATTTTACTGATTAAGGTAGTAAATAGTTTCATATTATACATTTTTATTATTGTAAACTAAAGATGTAACAGTATAATGAAAAGTATTTTGTAGATATTAGTTAAAAAAGGTTAATTTAAAACAGTTTAAACTTTATGTAAATACATAAATATTATACATATTTATCATACTTTGTCAATAGACGTTTTATGTATTAATACATATTTTTTGAAATAAACTATCAAGGGCTATAGTTTATTTCAAAAAATATAAGTAAAATTATGAACTAAAAAAATATCAATTAATCAAGAAAATTATTATGAGGTAATTTTGTGTGAAATCTAGCAAAATAAACTTCACTCTAATTAGCACAAAAAAAAAAAAAATTAAGTAATTGCTTATAAAACAATAACTGTGGTTTTCATTCTAATTATTAACGAAATTGATTTTGTAAGACCATTTATTTTTTACTACTTGAACTTGAAACTGTTAAAACAATAATTCCTAGTTTAAAAACACTTAAATAAAATTGAATAGTTTGTTGCCAGTTTTTAGTTAAAACCTATTGAATAAACATCATAAAATGAATATTTAGAACACGCAAAATGATAAATTATAAAATATAAGAAAAACATATACATTAATATAGAAAAATCGTTGATATTTTCTATAAAACTATAATCTGTATATTTTTATTTGAAAATTAAAATTTTTTTTTATTTTTACCTTGGCTTAAGATTTTTTTCTGTACTTCAGGGAACCTTTTTAATTCTCCTATGTTTCCAAACGAGATGCGCATATTATAAATTTTATTTTATCAGAAAAAAATTGAAGTGTTTTAACAACCATATGTATAACTATTTAAAAATTATAACTCTTTATGCCAAGACTCAACATTCAAACATTACTATTTTTACAGTTACGGTTAAAATCAATACAAAGCTATATATTATTAGTAAATAATCGTGTACGAACAATGCTCGTGATTAACAGTTGTCGAATTTTCAAAAGTTAATTATCAAACAAGTTAAAAAAAAACATAGTATTATTGTTACAATTGAAAGAGATACGTCAAATTTTATGATATTGTATTTAAACCACTGATATTGTCGAGGAAAAAATTTTCAGATTTACAATTATAAACAAATAAAATTATTTTAAAAACTTCATGTTATTAAAATATTATATTTATGTTCTACTAAATTTAATTATTAAGATAATGAATTAACAATTATAGGAAAATGTATTATTTAAAATTATAATGGCTTTCTGTTAAACTCTTTTTATATGTTGCTTAAAGTTTATTAATGTTTATTGAATACACCTACACAAATATAAACAGATAATTGAGTTAAGTAGACAATTAATTATATTGTAAAATATTACCAATACATAAAAAATTCTGTAGTACAAAAAAAAGTTAGATATTTAAAAAACACATTTAATAAACTTGTATTCAATCAAATTATTTTGTAAATAATATATGAATATATTTTTTTATTTTTACTCTATTTTAAAGTATATAATAATTACATAGTTTGATTTATTAAACAATAAAATTTAAAACGTTTGATTAGTTAAAAATTATGTCAAATGCCTCAAAGCATATAGCTTAGAATTTAATTATAAATACCTGATAATGAGTAAATAATATTTAAATTAAAATGCATTTCTTTGTGCTTATACGTGTCGTATATTTACAATAGCAAATTTGTTGTTTACGACTTGTTTTATTTTATTTTTAAAATATCAAGAACGATATTTTTATTTTAGTCATATGGATAAAATAAAAATGTTTTATTAAGTTAAACCCTTGGATCGCATGGTCCAATTTTCACAAGTTTCTCGCAAATATCCCAATACTTTTTCTGGTTTTCTACGTTGAGTATGTCATTTCTTAGGCTGGCTTCCTAAATAAAAATTTCAACATAAATTTGATTTTTTTATCTTTATGTATGAATATAAGCACATCAAAATTTTTAAAAATGTATTTTTAATAATATTATATTATTACTAAAATTTTTACTTACTTTGCAATCTTTAAAGTATTTTCCATTTGTTTTTTCTACATCTTCACTAACAGCTAAATAGATTGTTGTTTGTGCACCTTGTTCAGAGGTCTGTAAAATAATGTTTAACATTTAATTTGGACATTAGCCTCCTACATAGCAACGTATTGATTAATTAGATTTTTAATTTTCTTAAAAATACATCTCAAATCTCATTTATATTCTAACTTCTTCAAAACTTATCTTTATTTATTATTTATTTTAATGTAAACTACAAAGTTAAAATAATTTTTAAAATAATATGTAAGACTGTAGCCTCACAAATAATTTTAGCTTCGATGCAAAGCTGAGAAGGTATTAATTTTACTATGATGTGTTTTTTTTTTGTGTTTGATACCACTTTTTCTCAGCTCTCAACGAACAGATTTCTTTCAATGACACGTCAAAAGATCACAAATCGTATCTAGTCGAAGACATTACCATCAAAAATTGAAAAAATTTCCGTCATTCGCCATAAATGGGGGAAACCNAAAAAAAAAAAAAAAAAAAAAAAAAAAAATCTGTCCCTCTAACTGCCCACAGGGAGGGATTTAAAATGATAACTTTTTCAACTTAACTTTTGAAAGTGTTCCGGAAATACTGATACTTTTATATATATCTTAAATTAAAGCTTATGTAATATACTTTAATATTAAAAAAAAAAAAATTTGGACTTCATTTTATCTTCACGATGAAAATGGCTATTGAATGCTATTTTTGTGTGAAAATTCTTGATTTTATATTTTACATTTTTTACTTTAAAATGCTATAACTTTTTAAAAAATGTATGGGGATCAATACAATTTTTTCATGAGAAGTAAAATTTATATACATCTTTCATTCGAAATACTTTATCTTAATCAGGATATTAATAAGAAAATAGCAGATCATATAGCTTTTGAAATAATCCGCCAATTTTTTTAAATTAAACACTAACTAAAGATTTGCATCGAAACGTTTTTTTTTTTTATAGTGATTTTAATCACTGTCAGATATCATTATACTTGATCCAACTATCCCACGTCACCTCTGTGCCACGACCCCCCTGTGCTGGGTTTTTTTAATTACACCTATGCATATTATATTTTAAGAACTGATTTAATAGAAAATAAATATTTTGTAATTAAGTATTCCGTTGCAAATTGGTTGAACCAACTTGTCACGCCTAATGTAAGTAAATACAATAACAGTAAAAATATATGATTTGGAGTCATGAGAATGCCTTTTTGTACAATCTTTCCGTTTAATAAAAAAATATTTAAAGTTATCTTTTAGTTTTCTAATAAACAAAAAAATGTTGACTTAATTATTAGTATCTTCAAAAATACAATATAAATATTTACTTAATATTTAATAAATATTAATAAATGGTTAATAAATATATTTAAAATGTTCTATCCTTATTAATATAATAATATTACATAGAATTAAAATACTAAAATTATAAATGATTTAATTAAGTATAAATACATGATCTATTTACCTTAAACATTGTTTTAACAACCAATTGAATGGGCAAATTTAGTGGAAAAGGAACATTTCTCCATATACCTGAATCGATCATACCAGGATGAAGACAATTACAAGTAACACCTATAGCATTTTTATACATTACTAAGAAATGATTTTCTAAAAATTTATTAATGAATTATCATAAATAACTACGTATGTAATTACATATGTAATTACCTGAGTTACTTTCATTCAATCTTCTTGCCAATTCATTTGAAAACATGATGTTTGCATACTTAGACACGTAGTACAGATAGGCGGGAATCTGATTTGTTGGATTTGGTTTGTCTAAATTTAATTTGGCAAATCGATACAATTCTGAGGCCACAATAACGATTCGGCTTGGTGCACTTTTTTTGAGTAATGCTAATTATAATAAAAATATTTATGTAATAATTTTGGAACTAATATTATATTACAGACTAATGTTTAGGCACGGGTTAAAGGGGTTAGGGGTTTTCTTGGGGCCCTTCTTAATTTTTACAAAAGAAATGATCAGAAAATAATTAAAGTCCTACCTATATCTCCTATCATTTCATTATTTAGATAACAATTTTTGTTATCTTTTTAGTTCCTTTTGGAATTTTTACCCATATGAGTCAACAACAACTAGTCTTAATACGGGGATTTATTAGTGTCGTATTTGTATATTTGTACATCTGTTTATTACGAGACTTTATTTTCATTAAAAATTTAAAAACAATTTATTAACCAATAATATCTTATATTTATATAAAATAAATAAAGAAAATTACCATTACGTAATAACTTTAAAAAGCAAAACACTGAGAATCCGTATGTTTTACTTTGTGCCATATTCCCAGTCTGGGAATATAATCATTATTGTTGTGAATTTATTTAGCAAGGAAAATTTGTTTTAAAATTTACAATCACATCATAAGCTTTTTTATTATAGATAACAAAATTTATATTAACCGAGTGTGATTTTATTTACTCAAGCACTCCCTTCATTAATCCCCATTTTTTAAAAACTAGATTGAAATGTTTTTTTGGTCTTTTATATTAATTAATTTTTAACGAAAATTTTGAGTAATTATAAAAATATATAAAATACTTACGTAGAAGTAAACGTGTTAGTAAGTATGGTCCATACTGATTTGTTGCCATAGTTAATTCTAAATTGTCTTCGGTGATTGTCTTGCCAAAAGTTTTAGCTACCCCTGCGTTATTGATGAGTACATCTAATCTGGATTCTTGTTGGTTAATTTTACCAGCGAATTTACGAACTGAATTCAAACTGCTCAAGTCTAGTTCCATCAATACAACATTATTGTTTCCACTATATTCAATAATTTCATCTAAAAAATAATATTTATTATTTCATAATTAATAATTCTCAATGGCAATGTTAAAAAAATTCCTTTTTAAATGGAACTCGAAATCCTAATCATATCTATTTTGTTAGAAAATATTTTAAAACCTGCTAATATTAATATTTTTTAACTGTAGTTTAAAATTAAAGTGTAGCCTATATTTTAAACATTCTGTTCGTAGGCTAATTTAAACAAAATGTTTGGACTGTTTAACTTAATTTCTTTCAATCTTATCATATTTTCTAAATATAGCGTGTAATTTTCATAATTTGAGGGGTTAATACAGAATTAGGGGATTAAAGCCTCTCAGATTATGCTTATGATTTTGTGCTTTCAATATATTAATTTTTTAATGCAATAATTTATTTAATATCGATGAAAGCTTTATTAATATCAGAGTAGTACATAATAAAATTATTAAATGTCGATAACATAATACAAAAATAATACTGTTATACAATTATGGTCATTAGATTTCAATGCAAAAAATATTGTTATTAGTTAAAGTAAAAGTCCATTTTTATTGATAACATCCTAAAACAAAGAAAAATTTAAAAGAACTGTAAATTTTGTTTATGTTTCTCATAAAAATGATTCGTTCACATTTCATATTCTTAAATTTTTAAAAGAAGTAATTTGTAGCTTAGTTCTTACAAAAAGAAATTGTTCCAGTAATCTATTCTTGTTGAAAAAAATTCCTTCTTAATATTACTTGAAGAAGAATCACTTTCTTCTTAATATAAATTTGAAATACTCTAAATACTCTAAACTTTTTTTCATGTATACGTTTTTTTTCCAAAAGAACTTACAGTATTATTTTATATCTATTTATTATAAGTACACGGGTAATGTATGTGTTGATCAATAGAAAACATTAAATAAAATTTAATTTTATATTTTTTGGTATCGTAATAAGAAGTTTATTATCTTTAATTGAATATTAATTTCATTTATATAATAAATTGTATTATTTATATATTATAAATAAAGAATATTAAGGCTTTACTTTATAATTCGACTATTTTTGTTCGATAAATGAAAATACATCTATAAGAGAATGCTAAATATTACTTTCCCTAATTGTTTTTGTCATTAAAATATAATCCTTGACCTTGAGCTAACTAATCACTATAACATTAATAATTTTCAAGGTAACTATCTTTTTAATTTGTTATATACCTTAACAAATGCATGTTTTATTAGATTAAATTTTGCACGTATCTAATTTATATTTCATAATTAAGGATCATAAGACGTGGTTGTTTAAAATCATTTTAAATATACATGTTTTTTGTCATAGTTTTTAATTTAAAAAAGTTATAGTTTTTCTTATATTGTTTTATAAAATATCATTTGTATATCTAATTATCTTAAATAAGCAATAAAGTCTATACCACTCATTGATTATTCAAAATTTGGTTTCAATAAGTAATTGAAAAATCTAAAAATGTTGTTTTTCAGCATAGTGGGATTAATCTCTGTGAGATCCCGTTGAATGCATATTTTTGTTTTTAGTAGTTTTAACTTAAAATATTATTATGCATTTATTTTTACCTCGGACTTTTGAGCTGACCTCTATATTTCTACACGCCATGATTAATCTTGCTCCTCGTTTAGCTATATCTTTAGCAGTTTCTTTACCAATACCTAGTTTAAATGGTAATTAAACGTTTTGTATTTATTTGACGTTTATCTACATTATAATTCTATGAACTACTTACCAGAGTTGCATCCGGTAATAATAACAACTTTTCCTTTCATGTTGGTGTTACCGTTGTACAATCCAGTGGTCATCCAAGTGTATGCTTTAATAGTTGCTAGTGATACTACTGCGATCAGAATGACATTGAGAATAAGAGCTACTAAGTTAAACGTGTGAAGGTACGATAATGTTTCAGCATACCACATCATCAAACCTAAATAACCAGGAAAAAATTTAAGTATGTTGTAAGTAGGATATTCTATTATATGTCTACGGTCATCACTTAGATGTATTTTTACTGAACGTTATTCTTAGTACGTCACGAAATATGACATAGACCTTCAATGTTACTGTGTTTTTTTAAATGAACAATAAAGGATATATGCTCAAATAATGATGATAATTTTTGACCTAAGGTAAAAAAAAATACGAACAATTTTACTATTTCTCATTTTTAGCTTCGATGCGAAGCTGAGAAGGTATTGGTTTTACTATGATGCGTTTTTTTTTTTTGTGTCTGTTACCACTTTTTCTCAGCTCTCACCGAACGGATTTCTTTCAACGATACGTCAAAAGATCACAAATCGTATCTATATCGTACTAACCTTCAAAATTGAAAAAATTTCCCTCGTTCCCCGTAAATGGGGGAAACCTCCAAAAAAATTACAAATTTAAAAATCGCTAATTTTCGACATTTTTTCAATTTTTTTTACTAAAAACTGCCCTAACTTTTTCAAAAATGAACATATCAATATAATTTTTTTTTATATAGATGCTTGATGTCTTTACTTATCATTTGGTATATTTTTTTTGTAAATCTGACACTTAACCTGCCCACAGGGGGGGATTTAAAATGACAACTTTTTCACAAAAAATTAACTTTTTCAACATAACTTTTGAAAATGTTCCGGAAGGTCTGACACTTTTATATATATCTTAAATTAAAGCTAATGTAATATACTTTAATTTGAAAAAAAAAAATTTGACCTCTGGACTTGTCTTCACGGCGAAAATGGCTACCGAATGCTATTTTCGTGTGAAAATTCTCGATTTTATTATTCATATTATATTTAACTTTATAATGCTATAACTTATTGAAAAGTTTATGGATCCACACAATTTTTTTATGAGAAATAATATTTTTTAATAAACCCTTTTTCATTCGACATACTTTATCTTAATCGAGATATTAAGGAACCAGCAGATCAAGTAGCTTTTGGAATAAAACACCAATTTTTTTTAAATTAAACACTATCTAAAGATTTGCATCGAAGCGTTTATTTTTGATAGTGATTTTAATCACTGTCAGATATCATTATACTTGATCCAACTATACCACGTCACAACTGTGCCGCGACCCCCCTGTGCTGGGTTTTTTAAGTTCATAATGTAAAGAGTTTTAAACATGTAACTCATGTTTAAACTATTACCTTAACGAAATTAATAATAAAAAAATGTTTTGAATTGTTACCGAACAACAAGAAAAACAATTTCCGTTACATTGCTTTTATAATAACCAGAACATTAAATATCCGTCAGTTTGCTTGATTATAATTTTATCAAAATTATGTTAATGTAATATGTATTAATTACATACACGATATATCAATACAATTACACTATTTTCTTAAGCTAATGAATTTATACAAATATTTTTAAAATGCATTTGTAAATTGCATCATATGAGGTTGTAAAAATATAAATTGTAATCTACAATAAAATTAAACACTTTTTTTCTTTTAATTTGGTGTGCATGTTTTGATATAGGATTATAAACTTTTTTCTTTTTGTAGAAACCATACGAAGTAAACAATTTATTTTCGACTTACATAATTAATATTGTAATTTTAAGTATGATGTCTCAATGTCCCTATTTAGACGACCTAGGGTATACCTAATGAATGCTTCGCACACTTAAAATATTTTGTAACTTTACAATTCACAGATTTATTTTAGATATTTTTAAACCTTCCCAACAAAAAATTATTTTTGTCAGTATAAAAGTCATCAGAATATTATAATATCACACGCAAAAAAAATTCTTGCAATTCTACCCCAGGTAGTTTAATATTTTATTATAAATGACTTTTAAATCAAAATAAGCGTATAAATTATTATTTTTTGCTAATGTTTGTTGATGTGAGTACATCTTAAAAAAACTATATTATTGCCAATACATTTATACTTAGCTTATAGAATTATAAAAATATGTAAAAGCAATTTTTATAAATGGTTAAAAATGTATTCATTTACTTTTTGGAAATTAAACAAAATGTATTAATTCACATTTACAAATTGTTAATTAAAACAAAAAAAAGTATTAAAAATGAATATTAATCCGTAAATGATAGCTCATTTTAACTCTAAAAGATTACCTCTAAAACCTTTAAAATTTATCTTAAATATTATATTAATTTTAAAAAATGTTATAAAGTGAGATTTTTAAATTTTTATTAAAATCTAAAATAGAATATGGTGTCTTATAAAGAAAAATATAATAGGGAATAAAGAGAATGATTTTACTTACCATCAAAAAACGTCTTGCAATGATTCTAGATAGATTTTGTGTGCCTACAAGGCGTAAAGTGAAAGTAGTTCTGTTCAATCAAATTGTGAAAACATATATGTAACCAGTAGAAAAAGTAACAGTAGAGCAGAAGGGAGAGTGGTCTGATGATGTAATAATGGTAATTATCGTCCCTAGTTACAAAAATTTCATTTTTAGATTTAATTTTGTATATTATTGATTGTTATGAAATCATAATGTATTGGATAGCCAAACATTTTTTCGTATTATTACTTGCTTGAATACCCTTTTACCTGCGCCTATTAAATAGATTTAATTAGTTCAAAAATGTGTTTAACATATTTGTAATAAATTATATATTTATGCAATTTCAAATGAACAATTATAGGATAAAATAGTTTGAAAAAAATATGTTCAATGCATAGCACTGAATTTCTACTGGAAATCAAAAAGCTAAAAAATATTAAAATTCTTCGTGCGTGAATGTTCTTATTAGAATGAAATCTCATCAATTTACTAGTCGATTACGTCTAATTATATACTTTAATTGTTCATCGATGAATCAAAATGTAAATAGTCTGAAGAGCTTAGTCCTCCCCTAAAAATTAGAAAATTATATTTATTATGATATATATACAATAAAAATGTATAAAAACATTTTTAGGACAATGTAGAAAATACTGAAATATTTCATTAGTCCTCCCACATATTTTTATTTTCACTTATAAGTTCTACAAAAAATATAAGTTATATTAAACAACTAGGTTATCTTTTTATGTGTCCTGTAAATTTGTAGAAATCTCAATTTTTTTTAAGAAAAACCATTTGTGACTAAAAATTTAATATTTCAATATGTAATTTACTAAGACATATTTGATATTTAATACATTTATTAAATCAGTTAATTTTTAACTGAATTTTATAGGCGCAATCTAGGAAGACCAGTTGCGCAGCAATTGGGTACAGTTATCATACCTCCCTTTGTTCACAATATTTTTTTTAAAAATAAGTTTGTAAGAAATTTTTTTTCCATAAATAAATCTTAACTACGCCACTGAAGAAAAGAGTTTAATGAAACTATTTATGTAATTGCCTTCTCAAAAATTATATGCAGAGTGGAACAGATCTAACTGAAAACTCATATAACTTGTGATCTACATAATATTTATATATATTTTTTTTTGAAATCAATTTTTACAATATAGGACACTATATTAAACATGTTTGATGTTATTTTTCGCAATTAAAAAAATATTTCAATAATTCTTTTTTATTCAAAATTTTTTTAAGATTTAAAGATAGGCATTTTATGTATAATTTATAAACTTGAAGCACTTAAAATCATCAAAAAACTTCATTATAGGCACTCAAAAAGCACTTATAAAAACCCAGCACAGGGGGGTCGATAAATACAATCACCGAAGACAATTTAGAATTAACTATGGCAACAAATCAGTATGGACCATACTTACTAACACGTTTACTTCTACGTAAGTATTTTATATATTTTTATAATTACTCAAAATTTTCGTTAAAAATTAATTAATATAAAAGACCAAAAAAACATTTCAATCTAGTTTTTAAAAAATGGGGATTAATGAAGGGAGTGCTTGAGTAAATAAAATCACACTCGGTTAATATAAATTTTGTTATCTATAATAAAAAAGCTTATGATGTGATTGTAAATTTTAAAACAAATTTTCCTTGCTAAATAAATTCACAACAATAATGATTATATTCCCAGACTGGGAATATGGCACAAAGTAAAACATACGGATTCTCTGTGTTTTGCTTTTTAAAGTTATTACGTAATGGTAATTTTCTTTATTTATTTTATATAAATATAAGATATTATTGGTTAATAAATTGTTTTTAAATTTTTAATGAAAATAAAGTCTCGTAATAAACAGATGTACAAATATACAAATACGACACTAATAAATCCCCGTATTAAGACTAGTTGTTGTTGACTCATATGGGTAAAAATTCCAAAAGGAACTAAAAAGATAACAAAAATTGTTATCTAAATAATGAAATGATAGGAGATATAGGTAGGACTTTAATTATTTTCTGATCATTTCTTTTGTAAAAATTAAGAAGGGCCCCAAGAAAACCCCTAACCCCTTTAACCCGTGCCTAAACATTAGTCTGTAATATAATATTAGTTCCAAAATTATTACATAAATATTTTTATTATAATTAGCATTACTCAAAAAAAGTGCACCAAGCCGAATCGTTATTGTGGCCTCAGAATTGTATCGATTTGCCAAATTAAATTTAGACAAACCAAATCCAACAAATCAGATTCCCGCCTATCTGTACTACGTGTCTAAGTATGCAAACATCATGTTTTCAAATGAATTGGCAAGAAGATTGAATGAAAGTAACTCAGGTAATTACATATGTAATTACATACGTAGTTATTTATGATAATTCATTAATAAATTTTTAGAAAATCATTTCTTAGTAATGTATAAAAATGCTATAGGTGTTACTTGTAATTGTCTTCATCCTGGTATGATCGATTCAGGTATATGGAGAAATGTTCCTTTTCCACTAAATTTGCCCATTCAATTGGTTGTTAAAACAATGTTTAAGGTAAATAGATCATGTATTTATACTTAATTAAATCATTTATAATTTTAGTATTTTAATTCTATGTAATATTATTATATTAATAAGGATAGAACATTTTAAATATATTTATTAACCATTTATTAATATTTATTAAATATTAAGTAAATATTTATATTGTATTTTTGAAGATACTAATAATTAAGTCAACATTTTTTTGTTTATTAGAAAACTAAAAGATAACTTTAAATATTTTTTTATTAAACGGAAAGATTGTACAAAAAGGCATTCTCATGACTCCAAATCATATATTTTTACTGTTATTGTATTTACTTACATTAGGCGTGACAAGTTGGTTCAACCAATTTGCAACGGAATACTTAATTACAAAATATTTATTTTCTATTAAATCAGTTCTTAAAATATAATATGCATAGGTGTAATTAAAAAAACCCAGCACAGGGGGGTCGTGGCACAGAGGTGACGTGGGATAGTTGGATCAAGTATAATGATATCTGACAGTGATTAAAATCACTATAAAAAAAAAAAACGTTTCGATGCAAATCTTTAGTTAGTGTTTAATTTAAAAAAATTGGCGGATTATTTCAAAAGCTATATGATCTGCTATTTTCTTATTAATATCCTGATTAAGATAAAGTATTTCGAATGAAAGATGTATATAAATTTTACTTCTCATGAAAAAATTGTATTGATCCCCATACATTTTTTAAAAAGTTATAGCATTTTAAAGTAAAAAATGTAAAATATAAAATCAAGAATTTTCACACAAAAATAGCATTCAATAGCCATTTTCATCGTGAAGATAAAATGAAGTCCAAATTTTTTTTTTTTTAATATTAAAGTATATTACATAAGCTTTAATTTAAGATATATATAAAAGTATCAGTATTTCCGGAACACTTTCAAAAGTTAAGTTGAAAAAGTTATCATTTTAAATCCCTCCCTGTGGGCAGTTAGAGGGACAGATTTTTTTTTTTTTTTTTTTTTTTTTTTTTNTTTTTTTTTTTTTCTTTATTAATATATACACAATCTATACACAAACGGCACAATAAGAGTATTAGCTAAGATAAACAAGAATGAAATATTGAGTGAAGAAGCCACCCACCGATGACACTTTCGAGAGGGACAGATTTATAAAAAAAATATACCAAATGATAAGGAATGACATCAAGCATCTATAAAAAAAAGATTATATTGATTTGACCATTTTTTAAAAAGTTATAGCAATTTTAATTTAAAAAAATTGAAAAAATGTCGAAAATTAGCGATTTTAAAATTTGTAATTTTTTTGGAGGTTTCCCCCATTTATGGCGAATGACGGAAATTTTTTCAATTTTTGATGGTAATGTCTTCGACTAGATACGATTTGTGATCTTTTGACGTGTCATTGAAAGAAATCTGTTCGTTGAGAGCTGAGAAAAAGTGGTATCAAACACAAAAAAAAAACACATCATAGTAAAATTAATACCTTCTCAGCTTTGCATCGAAGCTAAAATTATTTGTGAGGCTACAGTCTTACATATTATTTTAAAAATTATTTTAACTTTGTAGTTTACATTAAAATAAATAATAAATAAAGATAAGTTTTGAAGAAGTTAGAATATAAATGAGATTTGAGATGTATTTTTAAGAAAATTAAAAATCTAATTAATCAATACGTTGCTATGTAGGAGGCTAATGTCCAAATTAAATGTTAAACATTATTTTACAGACCTCTGAACAAGGTGCACAAACAACAATCTATTTAGCTGTTAGTGAAGATGTAGAAAAAACAAATGGAAAATACTTTAAAGATTGCAAAGTAAGTAAAAATTTTAGTAATAATATAATATTATTAAAAATACATTTTTAAAAATTTTGATGTGCTTATATTCATACATAAAGATAAAAAAATCAAATTTATGTTGAAATTTTTATTTAGGAAGCCAGCCTAAGAAATGACATACTCAACGTAGAAAACCAGAAAAAGTATTGGGATATTTGCGAGAAACTTGTGAAAATTGGACCATGCGATCCAAGGGTTTAACTTAATAAAACATTTTTATTTTATCCATATGACTAAAATAAAAATATCGTTCTTGATATTTTAAAAATAAAATAAAACAAGTCGTAAACAACAAATTTGCTATTGTAAATATACGACACGTATAAGCACAAAGAAATGCATTTTAATTTAAATATTATTTACTCATTATCAGGTATTTATAATTAAATACCTTTGCATTAAACTTTTTATAACTTTCTATACTAGCATATTTGGATGTATGACATTTAAAAATTCTGTAATAGAAAAACGGTTGAACAGTGGAAAAAAATTCTCACTTATAAATTGTTCAATTTATTTTTCTATGAGCATATTTAAGAGAAACGATTAAACGATCAAAAAGAAAATCATCTTCTAAAACTTGTGTTTTTTATATAATGATTATAATTATAATAAAAAAGGAATAATTATTATTCCTAAATAAGGATTTTACAGAAATTAATGATAATTTTAACTATATTGTCTGATAATCTAACAGCCAATTTTAAATGTTATCATTTACCTCAATATCATGATAACGTATAAAATTTTCTTATCAATGGGATAATTTGATTAAAAGGCACGTGTTTTTTTATTTTTTACTATTTATTCTTTAATTAACTTATTCTTTATTTTCATCTAAATAGAAAATACTCAGAAATAAAACTTATAAATTTAAATTTTAAACTTTCGTTTATCAAAAATGTCAGCTCCAGCGAAAAAACGTTCAATAGAACCTCGAAAATCGATTGGCAATGCTTCAGAAGATGATAATATCGATCAAATGGTAAGACTTAACATTTTATTATTTTATTGCTTTATACTTTTTAAATAAAAATTTGACATTTTTTTACAAAATATTAAAGAAGAGTTATTTATCAATATAAGTTGCTAACACACTACATAAGTGTATGTAACTATGTTTTTTGTTCATCTATTTAAAAACGTACAATTATGTAGTAATTGATTTTCCTGGATCTAGTTTTTGTTTTAATCTCACTATAAAAGATAAAATATAACAATAAAATAAAATTAGGTAACCTTGATATAAAATTATTATTTTTTTAAAAATTGATTTTTATTTTTGACGGCATTAATAAAATAGACATTGGCTTAATATGATATACTGAGTTACAATTGAATAATTTAGACGAAATTAATATAAGTTATTACAGATTATTAAAGATTATATGTTATTTTATTATACAAAAAATTGAAAAATTTATTAACAATTTAACTGAGCTTTTCTAAAAAGTAGCTATTATATCATTTTATCAGATCAAGATAAAATTATATACATTTTCCTAGTAAACCAAATTAGAGTATTAAATTGAACAAAATTATACTATCATTTCTTTAACAAAGTAAAAACAAGTTGTAACCATACACAAATATAAAATTTATAATTGTGTACATACCACCCGAATGGATTGAGCCATAAAAAAGTTATTTCACACTTTAGTTAATTAAAGTTTTGACTTTATCTATTATTTAATATAGTTAATATGGCTCCAATTAAAAAAAAAACTAGTCTTTTTAAGCATTTGTTCTATTTTCATAAATTTTAATTTGATAAAATTTTAACGTGGCAAAAGCTACTATACAATTATGAAAGAATCAAAATTATTTGAATTAGAATAACTCAGTAAAATTTAAAAACAACTTGTTCATTTTTAGTATTATATTTAGTGTTTCTACAGTTAAGATATATTTAATACTATCATTATAAAAAATTTTTAATTTAAAAAGTCACGTAAACCACAAATTAGTAAATTAAAACTTAAAATATTTTAAATTTGATTTGTCATAAGTAATTTTGTACAGCAGTTTACTAACAAATTATTTTCAAAGGATCTGTTGATTTGACGTAGATAAAACATCAAATGTTGAGTAATTAAGGCCACTAAAACGTTTTTGTTAAAAATTGTAGTTATTCTAATCCTACACTGTATCTCAAATAAAAATGTAAGAGTCATATATTGTATGAGTTTTGAGTTTATAAATATCTTTATTTCATTAAAAAATATTCATATTTCATATTAAGCAGGATTCAATTATTTTTTTTTCAAATTATTAAAAATCTAACAATTTTTTCTTATATAATCTCATAACATCTAAACTTTACCTAAGTATATATAAAAATTAAATCATAGTTTAACTAAGTTTAAAAATAATTTACGCTATAAAAAAAAAAACAGTTTCAATAGTTATTATTATTGTAAAAATTTCTGTTTATATAATTATTATTGTGAAAAGTAATAATCATGTTATAAATTTATGGTAGAACTAAAAATTATTTTAATTACAAAATAATAAAAATATTTTTATCAATATAGTAATGAATTATCACATTAATTAATCTTACCACAAAAAATGTTTAATATTTAAAAACTATTAAACTATATTATGAACTTAACTATTTAAACATTAAATTTATTTATAAAAAATTATAAAAGGAGTCCATTTATTTATTCTGAAGCTAATTAAGAACAAATTTGTATTTTTTATTCTACATGTATATCATTATAAATTAAATATTTTTTTTTCTTTTTTAATATAAACTGAATGTTATTAATTATCAAATGTATTATTTTTAGTAAAAATAATGTTTTTTATATTAGATGATTGATGTTGAGTTTGAAGGGCGTAATCCAGAGAGTTCAGATTTTCATGGTGTCAAACAATTATTACAACAATTATTTTTAAAAGCTCAATTAAATGTATCAGACATGGCTTCAGTTTTAGTCAATCAACAAAGTATTGGTAGTGTTATCAAGGTATAGTACAATTTATAATCATTTTTCCAATGTACTTTATACATAGGTATTTATATATACCACCAGCTAGTAGATCAATCGTAATATTTAAATATGTCAAAACCTAGGTTTTAAAATTTAATATCTTTTTATCCAGCAAATATTTTGAGTTATTTCTTTATTTTTTGAGAATTTTTATAGTTTTAGATTATGGTTAAGAGCATATTTCTAAAAATTTTTTTTTTTTTTTTTTTTTTGAAATTTCAAAATAGCCATTTTTTTACTTTTTTTTTTACAAAAATGTTAATGAGTCTATAACAATTTTAGGAAGTTCTTATTGAGTTACAAACATTTTAATAGAGTGTATATGTAATTCGTACTAGTGAATGTAGCTTGGACTACATGCTACTTACTCATTCAATGTAAAAAAACGGTAGCACAGTGGGGTCGCACCACAATATGGACGTGGCATAGTTGGGACAAGTATAGATGATATCTGACAGTGATTAAAACCACTATCATAAGAAACGCTTAGATTCAAATCTGTAGATAGTGTTTAATTTTCAGAAATTGGTAGATTATTTCAAAAACAACAATAACTTTTATTCCCTTAATTTTAGGTCGATTAGTTATTTAAGTTATAATTATTATATATGAATAAATAATAATTTTAGTATGAAATAGATATTCAATAATTTCATATGATTTTCAATATTGTAATTTTTACAGAGATATTATAAAAATAATAAAGTAGTTGTATATTTCTTTACTTTTAACACATATAAAAATTTAAAGAGCTAGACACAATACTTTCCAATAAAAAATGTTTGTTACTTATAATAAAATTATAAGTTTTAAACACTGGACTACAAGAAACTTTCATCAGAAACAAAAATGTACCTTTCTAAATCAACTTTTTTCGATGTTTTCATATATGCTTTGAAACTTTTTCTATCACTTCTAAGTTTTAATATTATTAATTATTATTAAAATAATAAGTATTCACATATAAAAAAAAATTACTTTAAATTAATATCGATTTTGATTATTAAAATGTTAAAAATAAGGAAAATGACATATTTTACCTATTTTGTTAATCCTTAAAAGTTAATTTTTTTGAAAGTTTATTGTAAAAAAAAAATTTATTTATTACAATAACTTTTAGCTTTTGCAAGTTTGAAATTGACATCATTAAATAAAAAAATTAATGAGAATTAAAAAAATTGTATTGTTATGATTAATATGCAGTTAGAAAATTTTTTAATTACTATTTATAGTAAATTTATCAGAAAAGCTCAATATTTTTTTGAATTTTTATCGTAATAGATAACTGAAATAGAAATAATAGTAATCAATTTCTAGTAACTTTTAGTGTTTAAAAAGATTCTACTATTGAAATATTCAGAAGTTAATTAATTTTAATGATTTACTTTAACTAAAAGAATCAATCAAAACAAAGTTGTTAAAAAAATTTACTCAATTGAGCGTATTATAAAATTTGATTTTAATTGTAAAAATCCATTATTAATTCAGGAGAAACTAACAATAATTTATTTTTAGAAATGATTTGTATAACAACTTGTTAACAAAAAAATTGGAATATTATAATCTAGTAGTAGCACACACAAATAGAGTAAAGTATTATGCAATTATAAAGTAAATTGATTTAATTTTGTAGTTGAAACCTATCAATTTTTGAGGGTATTATCTTAAACTAATTGTAATAATTTGACATATCGTTGAAAAATGTACGTCAAGTTAGAGTAGAGAAAATAAATAATAGTCACAAAAAAATAGTCTCAGTTTCGCATTAAATCTAAAACCTAAAATGTAGTAAAATAATTTTAATATGAATTTCTTTTCTCAAGGGGCGACTACAGTGATAGGATCCTTGATCTTTATTGAAGTTATTGAATCTAAATGAGATTAAAATCAAAGAGTTGAAAATTTATTCAAACTTAAAAAACATCAAGAAAAAAATGCAAAAAATTCCTTGCCATATGCAAGTTGGAATGTTGTAACCCAAGCACGTGATACACAAGTTTTTACCACTCAGCAACCGTACGTCGCTTTTGACGGTTGAAAAAAATGGCAATTTAAGTTAATTCAAATTTCAAAGTTATTTTTCTCAACTTATAAAAAGCCATAAAATTTAAATAACTTTCAATTTTATTTATTTAATATTTATGAAAATCAGTGTACTCCCCTTGTCAGGTACTTTAAATTAAAATAAAATACAAAACCCAGAATTTTAACACAAAAATAGCGTATTTTTGCATACGGTAGTCATTTTTACCATGAAGACAAGTCCAGAGGTAAAATTTTTTTTTTCAAATTAAAGTATATATAAAAGTGTCAGTAGTCTTTCAGGAACATTTTCAAAAGTTAATTTTTTTTAAAAAAGATATCATTTTGAAACCCTTCTTGTGGGCTGGTAAAGGGTCAAATGTTCACAAAAATATATAAAATGATAGGTGAATACCTCAGGTATATATGAAAAAAAAATTGTATTGTTTCGGTCATTTTTAAAAAAGTTATGGCAATTTTAGGTAAAAAAAATAGAAAAAATGTAGAAAATTAGCGAGTTTTAAATTTGTAATTTTTTGAAGAATTTTCCTCGTTTACGAAGAATGAGGGAATTTTTTTCAATTTTTTAGGGTAATGTCTTTGACTAGATAGGATTTGGGATTTTTTGACGTATTGTTCATCAAAATCGGTCCAGCAAGAGCTGAGATTGAGCGTTCACAGACACAAAAAAAAAATATCATAGTAAAATTAATAAATTCTCAGCTTCGCATCGAAGCTAAAATACTTGTTAATCAATAAATACCTATCCTATTGTTATTATCAACCCATCAAAATTTTTTGTAAGAAAAAAACTATAAACTGACTCAAATTTAAAAAAAAAAAAAATGTAATTTATTAATTTTTTTTTTTATTGTTAATTAATAAATAATTATAGTTTAATAAAGTCTATAACTATAAAAATTATTTAAAGGAAAAGTAACACAAATTATTTATTGAATCAAAAGTTGTTTAAGATGTCAAAATGGTGTCCACCATATTTTGACATTATAACTAAAAAATATCACCAAAATTATTAACATTATTTCAGCAAGTATTTGATGATGAAGATGATGATGATGATGTTGATGTTAATCAAGTTTTTGGTATAACGACAATTCTTAACATAACTGAGCAGGTAATAAACTTCTCAACTGATTTTTAGTTTCTAAAAAATATTTTTTCAGAAAAGTGAATGTATAGAACAATTACAAAAATTGATGTTAAATTTGAGTAAACAACATGGTGAACCTAAAGTTGTTGAGTTTATAAATGATTATTTAGTTGTTAAAAAAAAACCATTAGCGTTATTAGTCAATGAAAGATATGTTAATATACCACCAGCAATATCTGTACCTTTATTGCAGTCAGTCAGGTATCTTTATTTAAGATTTATATAATATTATATTTTTACAGAACATAATAACAATAGCATTGTGTGCATTATTATTTTAGTAAAGAATTAACAAATATAAAAAACAAGAATACAATCAATGATTTTTCTTATTTCATAATGATTTGTAAACTGTACAAAATGAAAGAACATAAGAATAAAAAATCTGATCAAGTCATATGGTCTAATGCCGAAGAAGAAATATTTGATGAAGTAAATAATATTTTTATATTATTTAGTATGTTTTATTTACTACTTAAAAAAAAAATTGATTAATTAAATAACTATAGGAATCTGATTATACGTTTGAATTCTGTGTCAAAGATGAAAAGGATTCTGGTTTGGCCGGTAGTTGGGAAGAAGGTGACTGTGAAATGATCCCATATAGACGAGTACTGTTCTTTAAATCAGACAAACTTGATTCCATAATTAAAAAAATTCAGAATATGTTAAGTTGATTATTAAAGATTTATATAATTATTGTATTTATATTATTCTATAAACAATAATGTGGATAATGCAAATAGTTAATGTTTTAATAAAGTAAACATAATTTTAGGAAGAATAATTAAATCATTATAAATGAATAAAATAATATTATTGTTTTTATTTAACTATATAATAAAAATTGATCACTTGTGGCTAATTAATTAATTTATTGATTTAACTATTTTCAATTGTTATAAAATTATTTTAAAGGCATATCATTTTATAAAATTATGTGTTAACTAACTTTAGAAGTTTTTGCATGCTAATTTTTTTTACTTCTTATAGGGATATATAAAAAAAGCATACGCTATTTGATTGTGTGTTAAACATTATATAAAAATTTTAAATAAGGGATTAAAATTAATTTTATGCCAATTCCTCAAAAACTTTTCAAAATACCACTTGTATAATCTAGAAATAAAGAATATAAGGATTCACAATAAGACTTACTTTACAAAATTTTATATTTCGATCAATATTAATCTTCAAGATTTTTTATTTAATCAAAAATTGATTTTATTGAACTTTAAGATCAACAAAAATTATATATTAAAATGAAGTTTTATTTGTTAAAAGTATTTAATTATTTACTGTATATTTAAACATTTTCTTCAATTTAAGTTTCAACAGATTAAACACAAAGACAATGTATCCAAAAAAATGTTTGCAATTATTTCTAAATAAAAAGCCTAATTATTGTCATAAATAAAAATTTAAGCCTGGATGGTTACTTACATTTTTTCAGAATCGTCCTCTAAAAATATTGATAAAAATAAGATCAACTTTTTTTTTTTGAATTTAAAATAATTTTAAATTAAAAATGAATAATAAATCATATCTATTAACATAGGAAATTTTTTTTTGTTTAACAACATTAGTAAGTTTATGTTGAGATTCAACCATAAAAAAATGTATTGCAGATATTGCTTCTAACAACAATCTAAATCCTAAAGCAGCACTAAGGTTTCATTTATATGTTCATGTGCAACTTTTTTACTTTAAAAAATGTACAAATTTTTTTATTTTTAATATTGTGTGAATTTTTATTACATCTATATAATATCCGTATGTATTGAACCAAATTTAGTATAAATAGGCAAAATAATTTAATTGATACTTATTTAACAAAGTACTAATAAAAGATTTAGCTTTTGAAATATCACTTGAATTGAAATCTCAGTTTAGCTTACAAAGAATAAATATTATTATTATTAATTAGACTAGTTTACAAATAAAAAAAAATTTTCTGATCCATGACTTATGATAATCATTTTTTATATAACATCGTCCACTGAGTCCGAAAATGAAGTCTAAAATACAAAAAGTAGAACAGTTTTTGAGTTATTGTGAAATTAGCGTTTTTCGTGGGTCGCAAAAAAGTGTTTTCATTATGTTCTAAATATCTTTAATTGCATTCAACCGGTTTTTATTTTTTTTACATAAAATTAAATGTTAAATTACCTATAACTTTTAGCTTAAAAAATTTTTTATATGACTTTTTTCTCGTTTGCTATCTACGAATTTACCACTGAATTTTAAACTTTTTTTTCAAAATGTCAGAAAAAATTCAGTTTCACGTAAAATACACCAATAAAAAATAAATTTATCAACAATATACTCATTAGAAATTATACTTTAATACATAACAAAGAAAATGATATATCATTTTGTAATATTGATAAAAAAAATGAAGAAGTTATGCTCGATTGAAAAATAAAACAAATTTCCTAATATCAGAGTTTTTTAATTCGATGCGTTAATTTTGTAAAATATTTTATTATTTTCTGAATATTATATTCTTAAAATAATAAAATGTACTGTTTACCTATTTATGAATAGTTTATCAATAAATCGTCTACTATTTCTCTATAATTTAAACTTTTAGTTTCCTAAAAAATAATTTACAACCAAACGAAACGAATTCATACTAAAGCCTCGTATTTTGATAAAGTCAACACAAAATTGGAGACGTTTATTATTTTTTTATTTGTGGTCCTATGAAAATACCTTCTTTGATTTTTGTATCAAACAAATGTGGAAACACAGTTTTCAAATAAGTAAATGAATTTCCATTTTTATTTAAAGCATTAACAAAATTTTTAAAAAGTCCAAGTTTAATATGTAAAGGTGGTAGGATTATTCTATTTTTATTAACAGAGGATTGAAACTTCAATTTTTTTTTGAATACGAAAATTTACCACAACCCCACCAAACTGTAAAATTAACTCAATTTAAAAATTTCCCTATAAAACTATATGAAATAACCTTAAGTTAATTAAAAAATCGAAATTTTGTTTTGAAAAGTAATATTGTGAGTAATTTTTTAATATTTTACAAAATTAACGCATCGAATTAAAAAACTCTGATATTAGGAAATTTGTTTTATTTTTCAATCGAGCATAACAACTTCTTCATTTTTTTTATCAATATTACAAAATGATATATCATTTTCTTTGTTATGTATTAGAGTATAATGTCTAATGAGTATATTGTTGATAAATTTATTTTTTATTGGTGTATTTTACGTGAAACTGAATTTTTCCTGACATTTTGGAAAAAATGTTAAAAATTCAGTGGTAAATTCGTAGATAGCAAACGAGAAAAAGTCATATAAAAAATTTTTTAAGATAAAAGTTATAGGTAATTTAACATTTAATTTTATGTAAAAAAAATAAAAACCGGTTGAATGCAATTAAAGATATTTAGAACATAATGAAAACACTTTTTTGCGACCCACGAAAAACGCTAATTTCACAATAACTCAAAAACTGTTCTACTTTTTGTATTTTAGACTTCATTTTCGGACTCAGTGGACGATGTTATATAAAAAATGATTATCATAAGTCAGAGGTCAATTTTGTTGTGAACTAGTGTTATTAGACTCATATAGCTACACACATTTTGATTTCTAACATTATTTTTGTTAACTTCACACTTTGAGAAATGAAAGTGTATAATAGGATATATATTAAGATATAAAAAGAATAGATAATTTATCAAAGTATTATTATATTTAATAAAAATCTAGTGATACGATTTTCAATATAAATAAGTAAAAAAGTTTATTTAATATAAATTAATGGTACAAAATAAAAATTCCTTATAGAAAAGTAGGATTTCATAAGTAAAATTAAAAGTTACAATAATAGTTTGAAATTATAAAATAAATTTGTTTCACCAAGTCTCAACTTAAGTTTCATTAATAGTTAAACTTAGAATTGGCTAGATTCTATAAATACTGGGTAAAGTTGTACAATTGGTACTTAATCTAAGGAAAATTAATTATTTTCATCATGTATTCTAAAATTAGGACACGCTTCACACGGAACACACATAAAATGAGTTTAATCCTAATACAATTTTTATTCATCTTCTTCATTTTCTTCTTTGCTCTCATCTCCTGCAGACTCTTCTTTTTCTTTCTTTTCACCCTTTTTAGGACGACCACGTTTACCAGTCTTGCTCTAAAAGTTAATTTACCAAGGCATTAAAAAATTATAATTGTACATATTCAAACAAAAAGGATTACTTTAGGTTTAGGTGATTTTTTGGTAGCAGATGCACCAGATTTAGGTGGACGGCCTCTTCCTCTTTTAGCTGGAACCCCATCTTCATCTTTTTTAACTACCTCTTTTTTTTCGGTCTCATGAGCTCGTTTCTTTGTTTCTTTTGGTGGATTCTAAAAAGGTAAAAATAAAAATATTGATAAAAATTTAACTAGTTGGTGTTAACAAAAATTACATCAGTCTTAGCAGGACGTCCACGTCTTTTTTCTACAACTGCCTCTGAGTCAGACATCTGAAATATTAATTGTTAATAAATTAGTATTAAACAAAATAATTATAAAATTTCAAAATGCAAAAATTTCCTTAAATAAAAATTATATATTTTCTCAAACAAAAAATAAATAAAATGGTCATTAAAACACAAGTTAAATATTCGAAATTATTAAAATGTAAAAAAATGGTCTTGACCCTAAAGAATATGAAATAAATTTAGTTAAAAGAAATAAATTTAACGTGATTTGACAGTGCCGCATTGATTTTGTGATATTAAAGAAAAAACAGAATAATTATTTGTTTACACTTTTAGTGTAATAGCCAACTTCAACTTAATATGTGTTTCTAAAGGAAACAAAATATATTTTAAATTAAAAAATTTAGAGAAAATGACATCAGAATGTACTTGACGAAAAATGTGTAATAAGTAGTTTTGATGTATTAAGAACATTGGCATAACGGTAATATTGCGTTACCGCCATTAGTCATGTAATAAGAAAATCAATGAATAATTATTTGCGATAGAGCAAAAATAACTCAAAAATTTTTAGTGTATAAATTTGTAATAAATATTAATAATTAAAAATTACTAATAAAATACAATTTTTACTTACGATTTATTTGAGAAGGTTAAGTTTGTAAAAAACACAACAAAAGATGAGGGTAAATTAACTAAGGGGATTTGAGGATAGGACCAGACGCACAACTAAACTGTCAAATGTAAAATAATAAATAAATAAATAAAAACACTCCTCAGTCCGCTCAACGGTTCGAAAACAACATGTCGACTGTTGACAACAAAAAGACAGGCACTCATTGGCTTGTTACATTCGTAACCATTACGCCAGTACCGTCACTGAGTTCTTACTGATAAACACACCGCATTGTTGTGATAAGTTCCTTATCAATTGGGAGAGAGCAGATACGTTGAATGACGTGTCTGTAGATTGTGGGAGTATAACTTAAATTTTTAATTAAATTGAAAAATTGCAACGCTATTCGGTAAAATTTTTGTATTATTCAACGAAGAAAATCCTATCGAATGGCTTTCAAAAGGGATAAAAAGGAGGAAGAGGATGGTAAATTAATTTTTTAATTTCGTTCGTATCATAGTCAATTATTACATGGTTTCAATGAATTTGTATACCTATGTTATTTTACCCCGATAATATTTAGCGAGAAGTTTATTGCAACTTATCATTAAAAACTTGAAATCTTAGAAACCTAATCAATATGAAATATAATGTTGTCTTTTGTGTAAATTAATTGTTGGTTTCTGTTAAAAACTTGATTCAAAAACTATTGCCTAGTATTTACTTAAAAATGTTTTTTAAAAATAAAAATAATGCTCCATTTAAAGGAGGGAATCAGTATCAGAATCTGGAGAAGACTAGTGTTCTTCAAGAAGCTAGAACATTTAACGATACACCAGTCAATCCCAGAAAATGTGCTCACATTCTCTCTAAAATATTGTACATGATAAATCAAGTAAATATTTCATTTTCCTTGATAATTTTACATTATTAAGAATTTTTGATGTATTTAAAGGGTGAACAATTGGGTACTGCTGAAGCTACAGATACTTTTTTTGCTATGACTAAATTATTTCAATCTCGTGATATAATATTAAGAAGAATGGTTTATCTTGGAATCAAAGTAAGAGTTAATTTTAAAAATAGTTATTTTATATTTAACTAAATATATGTTATTATTTTTAGGAATTGAGTAGTATAGCAGAAGATGTCATAATTGTTACATCAAGCTTAACCAAAGATATGACTGGTAAAGAAGACACATACAGAGCTGCTGCAATAAGAGCTTTATGTAGCATAACTGATGTCTGTTTTTTGTAAATAAATTTTTAATATATTATTTTACTAATAGTTTTTATATGTATGAAAAATATAGGTATCAATGTTGCAAACAATTGAACGTTACATGAAACAAGCAATTGTAGATAAAAATCCTGGTATTAGCAGTGCTGCTTTAGTAAGCTGTTTACATTTATGTAAAAGTGTATCTGCTACTGACATTGTCAAACGATCCTTGAATGAAATACAAGAAGCATTGAGTTCAGAGAAGTAATTTATTTAAAGAATCATGTTGTAAAAAATATTAATTGAGACTATATTTTTACAGTGTAATGGTACAATATCATGCTTTAGGACTTCTTTTTCATATTAGGAAAACAGATCGTCTAGCAGTTTCAAAATTAGTTGCTAAGCTTACAAAAACTAATATGAAATCACCATTTGCTGTTTGTATGCTGGTATGTATAAATAAACTGGATTATTATTATTAAATTATCTTTACAATTCTCTTTCATAAGCTATGCTTGTGTTAAAGAGAACCTGCTTAGCCCATTGCAATGATATTTAACTCCTATACCTATGCACCAAGACATGATGCATTCTTGATTAAGCTAGTTAGGTTGCCTAAAATCTTATTTATTTTAGTAAATATTAATTCCTACAATTAGGTATAAATTATTATTATTGTATAACTTCTTATTGATAATCAAAGGAAAACAAAGTTCCAGATTGACTATTTTTCAAAAATTACTAATCTTTCAAATTACTTAATGAAGTCTTTTGTTGTTCTTTTTATCTAATATTCTAATATTACAGGTAAAACTTCTATGCAATAAATATGTGTGTATTCATAAATTTATTTAAAGTTCACTTTTCTATCTTAAATTGTATAAATGTGATAATCGTTTCATGCACTAACTTAAGGAATAGAGAAAAAAAATCTATCATATTATTTATCATAATAGTATAAAATTTTTATTTAGGTATTAAAATAATTTATAAAGTTTAACAGTTGTGTGTATTATATATTTATATTTTAAAATGATATTATTGTACTAAAAATATTTAAAATAATTTGTTTATGTAATTGGTATAATGTTTAACTGTTAAAATTACTTATTTAATTTTTTCATTAAAAGTATTGTATGCACTAATTTTTATTGATTATAATTGTTTACATTTTAGATTAGAATGGCTTGCAAGTTATTAGAAGAAGAAACAATTCCACGTTCAGAATCACCTCTATTTGAATTTGTTGAATCCTGTATTCGTCATAAATCAGAAACAGTTGTGTATGAAGCAGCCCATGCAATAGTTCATTTAAGTGGTACTGGAGCTAGACATTTAGCACCAGCTGTTTCAGTTTTACAATTATTCTGCTCATCTTCTAAACCCACTTTACGTTTTGCTGCTGTTCGAACACTTAATAAGGCAAGTTCAAATTGACTTTACAACAGCATATTATATATTTAAACTGTTGCCATGCTTATAAATTTGAAAATAAATTAGAGATTAAACAAATATACACCTTAATTTTTAATAATAATTTTTATACTAAAATACTTATACAATTTTTTAATGTTTAGGTCGCTATGGAACATCCAAGTACAGTTACTGCTTGTAACTTAGATCTTGAAAATTTAATAAGTGATTCTAACAGATCAGTTGCTACATTAGCCATAACAACTCTATTAAAAACAGGATCTGAAGCATCTGTTGATCGACTTATGAAACAAATAGCAACTTTTGTTAATGAAATATCTGATGAGTTTAAAATAGTTGTTGTTCAAGTAATAAAATGTTAAATAATTAATTTTAAAATAAATTTTGCAAAAAATAATAATTTTAGGCTATAAGAGCTTTATGTTCCAAATTTCCCCGTAAACATACAGTTTTAATGAACTTTTTATCCGGTATGTTAAGAGAAGAAGGTGGACTAGATTATAAAGCTTCTATTGCTGATACAATCATAGCCATAATTGAAGAAAATCCAGAAGCTAAAGAAACAGGTTTATACCTAATTATATTTTTTATTCTATTGTATGTACATTATTTATTTAATGTATACTTATAAAAATTTTTATGTTTTAAGGGTTAGCCCATTTGTGTGAGTTTATTGAAGATTGTGAACATACCAGTTTAACTGTTCGTATTTTACATTTATTAGGCAAAGAAGGACCACATACAAAACAACCATCAAGGTAAATTTTATTTATAATGTTATTTTTTTAATATTGTGTTAATAATTTTTTCCTAAAGGTATATACGTTTTATATATAATCGAGTAATATTAGAAGGAGCAGTTGTAAGAGCAGCAGCTGTAGGAGCAATGGCAAAGTATGCTGCTCAATGTTCAATGCTTCATGATAGCATTAAAGTACTTTTAAAGAGATGTTGCCTTGATGTTGATGATGAAGTCAGGGACAGGGCCACATTTTATAGCCAGTTATTGAGTTCTAACAATCGAATGTTGATAACTGACTACTTATCTGAACCAAATCATGTAAATGTTTTTAATGCATAGATTTTATTTCATTTCATTTAAAAAATTAAGAATAAAACATTTCTAAAGGTGTCTTTACCAGCTTTGGAGAAAACTTGCCAAGATTTTATTAAAAATCCATCAAAAGAGCGTATTAAACTTAATGAGCTGCCAGTTGATATTGTTGTCAAAGCTAGTCCTACAGAAACATTAAAAAAAAATGTTGCAATTAAAACTGTTCAACCAGGTAAATACATGATTATGTTCAACTTGTTTTTACACATAATACTTTTAAATAATTTGTAAGTAATATAAAACATAAAAACTTATATTAACATCAAGTTTCTTTTTAATTTAAAAATATTATCCATATATATTAACAAGTTAAAATATTACATAGATATTTTTTTTATTGTGGAACTTTCCTTTGTATTTCCTTTTGTAATTTCATTCATTATTATATAAAATAGATAAGGGTATAAACAAAACCTAAGTACACACCTATTTTTACCCTGTTCTTCCATACACTTTTTACCCTAGTACAAGTACCGTCATATATATCCTATATTGCATATATATATATATATATATATATATATATATTTAAGACTTCTTTTCTCATTAACGCATATTTTAAAACCTCTCTTAGTACTCCATTATATGCCTTCTCCAAATATTTAAATACCATATAAAGTTTTTCTTCTTTTCCTATACTTTTCTATTAGCTAGTGTATACCAAATAATGGTTCCATTGTTTATTTTCCAGACAAAAAACTGATTTTTTTATCACCACTACTTCTTATTCTCTTATTCTACCCCAAATCTTATACTATAACTTATAGACTATATGTCTCTATAATTTCCACATTCTTGTGTGTCCCCTTTGTCTTTTTAAATATGGGTATGATAAAACTTTTTTTCCACTCTTTTAGTGATTTTCCCTAATTAAAATAATCTTTCAAAAATCTTATTCTTAGTTTCCTTAATATTTTCCACACTTCCACTAACACTTCATCAGGTTTTGCTACTTTTTTCTTTTTCAAACCTCCCATATTTCCTCTGTACTAATTAAATCTATTAGTTTATAATTTTTTTAACTTCTGTTAATAACAATATTATTATCATCTCAAAAATAATTTACTTTAGTTACTGAGCCAGTTGAAGAACGTGTTAATGTTCAATCGTTACCTAACTTGATCAATCTAAATGCTGGTAAATTGTTCCGTTCTTCTGAACCTACAATGTTGACAGAACCAGAAACAGAATATGTAGTTCGATGTATTAAACATGTATTCAATCAGCATTTAATATTACAAGTAAAGTATCTAAATATTTTTGATAAATTTATTGTGACTACATTTTTTAACAAAATATTTCTTTTTCTCAGTTTGAAATAACTAATACATTAGATGACCAAATTTTAGAAAATATTAGTATCGAGTTGGAGGTTAGTGAGGGTTTTAGTGTATTAGATGAAGTAAAAATTGCCTCATTAAAATATCAAGAAACTGAAAATGTTTTTGTTTTTTTGAATTTCCCAGAAGAACCTGTAGAATCTATTGGTAAGTGTAATAATAATATAATTTAGGTATAGATTTGAATGCACTTATAATTTGTTTTATTTACTCTGATTACATGAACGTAATATACAGTTTAATTTGCTTTACTTAAAAATAGACAATGTAGAAATTTGATGTGTGCTTGGAAGATTACTATCCTAAGCAAAAATTTTTTATATAGTACTGAACATACCCGTATAAAAATTGTTTAGACTTTGATGAGTTTTTAGTGACTCGGACACATTAAATATGTCTCAGTTACATTTAAAATGGGTTCTAATTTGAAATTTTCTGAAAGTATGATTATTATATTATAAAAACATATTTTTCTTATTCAGCAAGTTTTACTGCGAAAATGAAATTTGTTGTTAAGGATTGCGATCCTTTAACTGGAGAAGTTCAGGATGGTGATGGATATCAAGAAGATTATAGGGTATGTGCTAAACTTTTACTTAACTAAATATGATAAAACAATATTATGATGTAATAATTTTTTAAATCTAGTTAGAAGATGTAGAAGTTACATTAAAAGATCAAATGTTAAATGTAAAAGTTGGAAATTGGGATTCATTATGGGATGAAGCACAAAATATTTGCCATGAGGTACAAGAAACATTTGCATTACCATTGAATGATGGTGGATTATCAGATACCGTTAATCAAATTATCTCATTTCTTGGAATGGCAGCTGCCAATAATTCAGATAATGTAATTCCTCCTAATAAATCATCCCACACAGTTAATCTGGCAGGTAATATTTTTTAAATAAATTTAATAATACTGTAGAATTATTATTCTATTAGTGTTTTATTTTTAGGATTAATGAGAGGAAACCATAAAGTTTTGGCTTTGGCAAAATTAGCTCTTAGTGATAATAGTGTTACTATTCAACTAACTGTACGTTCCATAGATGAGAGAATTGCTGACCTGGTACTATCTACACTTGATTAATTGTTAATTTAACTTAATTATTTTTTATTATGTTATAAATAAACTTTTATTTTAAATTGTAAATGTGTTATTTTCCATTCAGACATCTAATATGAATATATACATGTAATAAATATAAATATTATTTTATTTATATTATATTATATTAAGAAAATCATTATTATACTCAGTTAAATAAAATTTACACTTATTAAGTTATTTTATTTTTTAGAAAGAATGTTTCTTTATGAGAATAAAATAAAATAAATTCTAAAAGATAGAGAGCAAAGAACTATGTTATTTTTAAGGAGAATAAAACTATATTATATTTTAAGTATTTTTTAGGTAATACGATGAAAAAATTTAGTATGTTAAACAATGTTAACATCAAAAAAAATTTACATTTGTGTTACAAGTTTGTTTTTGAAAATTAATCTGACAATACTTTTTTTTATATTTAAAATATTAATTTAAATATAAAAAATAAAAAAATAAAAAATTGTGGATACGTATTTTGTGTACAATGTTACCATCATCACATACTGAAATATGTAACTAAATTAAAACAGGTTGAATAGGTTGACGTGACTTTATGTAATTAAATGAATACATAGAACGTTTAAAACAATATAGGGTTAATAGCTTTATTAACTTTAATTTTCATTTATTATTTATATTACCATAACAAAATATAATAGAAATATAAAGAGCACAATAGAGGTCAGTGTTTGATAAATCAAATGTATAAGAACATTATTATAACCGTTTGTAAACATTTTTTCTAAATATTTGATTAATATTTGTACCATAACTTCTAGAATTTATACTTAAATTACACTCGCATAAGATACATACGTATAAATTTTCAAAATGTTTTAAATCAAAAAAAAAATTTTTAACTTTTAAATTTATAAATACAAAATTAAAGCGTGATTCTCTAATATTGCCAAATTTTAAGAAGTGGATATGTTTAGTATATTATAAAAAAATGTTAATATTTTTCACGATTGTTATAGTCGTGGATCTCAAATGTCAACTTAAATACTTAAATTAAAACACAAAACTTTTTAAGATAGTAATTCATAGATTGATAAAGCTGCTGTTTTTCAAGTTAATTCAACAAAACTGAAATTATAAACTATAAATTAATTATTTAAATAGTTAAATAATTTAAGATTTAAATTTTTTTATAACATTTCAATAAATGAATGATCAAGAAGAAAAATTTTCTTTTTGTATAAAAAGATTTAAGAAAAGATCAATTATAAAAATAAGACAATGATTAATATTCAAAAATGTTTTATATTATTAAAATCGACATATACCATAAACTTAACTTGAGAGATAAAAAAAATTCAGAATCATGTAAGTAACATGTTGATTTTATTATCAATTTGTTTAATTTTAGAACGTAAGTCTGCCACATAGCAAATTGCTAAATAAATAAAATGGAGGTGTATTTATGATTAAAGCCGGTTATTCAAAATTTAAGACTATGTATGTAGATATTTTTACATATTATTTTTTAAAGTCTAATTCATAATTGTGAATAATAGTTTTTGGATAATTATTGTTAATTTGCATTTTGTGGAGTTTCAAGATAAAATTTAAATAATAGTCTTTTACAAAAGTATAATAGTTTTCTATTCCATGATGAATTATTATCTCTTCACACGTATCAACACACCTAAGAGACGTCTACTATTGAATGGTGATTATAAATTGTAATTTGTATTGACTACGGATTGAATATTTGTCTTTTTTTGAATTTCGAAAAATATTTATTTTCTTTTGTCTTAGAATCATTAAAAAGGTTTATTAATGAGTTTTTAGGAATATAGTTATTAAAAGTTATTGTGGTGAGTTTTTTTAATATTTAATTAAGATTATTAGTAAAATAAAAATTTGACATGAAATTTTACTTTTTTAGATTTAAAAAAATGGTTTTGTTAGCGTCAGCGGTTTGTACGAAAACCGGAAAGACTATAGTATCTCGTCAATTTGTAGAAATGACTAAAGCGCGAATTGAAGGGTTATTAGCAGCTTTTCCCAAACTTATGTCAACTGAAAAACGCCACATTCAACATACTTTTGTTGAAACTGATTCAGTACGTTATGTATATCAGCCTTTGGATAAACTGTATATGTTGTTAATTACTACTAAGACAAGTAATATTTTAGAGGATTTGGAAACTTTAAGATTATTTTCAAAAGTTGTCCTTGATTGTTGCAAGTAAGAAAACATTGATTAGGATATATATACAGCCATTAACTTATTATTATTATTATTATTATTATTTTATGACTACTTAAATTTATTTGTTTTAGTATAATAACTAATAAATGGTTGAGTATATTTTTTAAAATAAAATTGTACTCATACTTCAATGTACTTAAATATTTTTCAGAATGGTTGATGAAAGTGAAGTATCAAAAAAATCATTCGATCTAATATTTGCTTTTGATGAAATTGTTGCTCTTGGTTATAGAGAAAGTGTTAATTTAGCTCAAGTTAGAACATTTGTTGAAATGGATTCTCACGAAGAAAAAATGTATCAGGCTGTTCGTCAATCACAAGAACGTGATGCTAAAGTCAAAATGCGAGAAAAAGCTAAAGAGTTACAACGCCAAAGAATTGATGCTGTTAAAAAAGGAGTCCGTTTACCAACTTCTTCATCAAGTCCATACATGTCAATGGCTCCTGTTGCCGAGTCAATTTATGATATTAAAGTTTCTAAGCCAGAACCTCTTAAGTATTCTAGTAGTAACAAAGCTTTGAAATTAGGAGCTAAATCTAAAGATGTTGATTTATTTGTTGATCAATTAAAATCTGAAGGAGAAAAAGTTGTACCTCTTAATAAAAAACCTACTATTGTAACGTCTCCAGCAAGTATTCAAAATGATGTGCATATTAAAAAAGAAGAACGTTTAATAGCAGTTATTGGCCGAGATGGTGGAGTCAGAAACTTTGAGTTACATGGTTTAATTTCATTAAAAATTGCAAATGAAAAATATCAAAAAATTGTATTACAATTTAATGATGAATCTGGAAACATTCCATTACAAACTCATCCTAATGTCGATAAAGAGTTATTTAAAAACAATAGGTTGATAGGTTTGAAAAATCCATCTAAACCATTTCCACTTGAGTCAGAAGTAGGGTTGTTGAAATGGACTTTGCAATCACAAGAAGAATCGGCTATTCCTCTTTCAATAAATTGTTGGCCAAGCGAAAATGGCTATGGAGGGTGTGATGTAAACATTGAATATAATTTGGAACATGTTGATCTTGAATTAAACAATGTAACAGTTACAATTCCATTGCCTTTTGGAAATGCTCCTGTTATTCAAGAATGTAATGGAGTTTACAGTTATGAACCTAAAAAAAATATTCTTATTTGGTCTATTGCAGTTGTTGATTCATCAAACTCAACAGGTTCTATCGAGTTTGAATCACCAAAGTCTACTGCATCAGATTTCTTTCCAATAAAAGTAGATTTCATTTCAAAATCTGCATACAACAAAATTAAACCGGTTGAAATTAAAATGGTTGATGATAATACCCCTATCAAGTTTAGCTCAGAAACTTCATTATTTACTGGAAATTATGAAATCATTTAACTATGTAAAAATAGCTTATTTGTTAAAGAATTATTAATTATTTAAATATTATTCTTTTAAAAATGTTTATTTATTTACATATATTATACACATAATTACATTTCAAATTGTCAAAATAGAAATGCTCTTTACATTTTTCTTTATGACACATTTTTTTTATTCATTAGAACTATTTTGTGTTGCTGATAAAAGTAATTCTTGAACTTCTTTAGCATATGAAATCTGAGAACGAACTGTACTTAAATATTGTGGATAAGTTAATGAACTCAATTCTTGAGTAGGTACTGGTTCAGTTCTAGTTGGATATACAAGTAATGGTAGATATCTTTGACTACTCATACCTATAAGTAAAAAAAAAATTATACATATTATTATTGAATAATAATATATATGTAATAATACATATCATTAGCAATGTTAGGTAGTAACCTAATATAGAGAGAACATAGGGACAGTAAACATGCCCCTCTGTTGGTATTAATGCACTAATATAAAAATGTTTGTCAATATTTTGTTTACTCATTTTCAGCTCAAAATATATGTATATATAGTAATAAAATGGTCATAACAATTTCATAGTAGCTTGTTAATTGAAATTAATTTTTTTGTGCACTACTTACATTTTGAATTTATAAATACACCCTTTAATAATTTAGACCATTACTAGTTAAGTGATTTAATTCCAATATAACTTATTTAACACTGATCATTAGATATCTTACACATTATTTCATAGATATTGATACATAGTAAGGGAATAGTTTCTTTATCATCCTAATTACTAGTAACAATTAAAAAGAAACCAAATCAATTGACCTGTTTCTTTGACACATTCTACATGTACACAAAATGATTCTGATAACATTGATATCTTCTAAAATAATAAAAATACTAAGAATTTTTTTCTAATCATTTTTTGGTTAAATATACTTCTTAAATTATCAATCATTAAATACTTTTAGGTCCATCCTTTACTAGTTGATAACAACTTTTAGCCAATTATTTTGGAAGTTATTAATATTTTTAAACCTAGGCAGGAAGAGTGTGGTGAAATAATATCTAATGATAAAAATAGTAATACGTACACCTCACACCCACAGTCTATATTTTAAAATGATAATAGCATTCAAAATAATGGACTAAAAGTTGTTAAGGACACTAATTTTATTAACTACATGGTTATTTTATATAAATTACTCAAATATACATATTTCTATTTAAAAATGACAAAAATTTTAAAAAGTTTCAACCTTTATTAGGAATAAATTATAGACTTAAAAAATTTCTCTATGATTGATAAATCCAGAAGTAAAGAAACTAAAAAAGTGAAAAAAAAATTCTCAATATTGTTATTATTATAGAAGAATTAAGTGGCTAATGTTAAAATAACTAACCTATACATATCTTAGATATATCACCTAAAAAAATAAAAGTTATTGTGGTATTTCAAATTCAATAACATACATTATATATATATAAAATTAAGTTACAGAAATGTTAAATAAAAACATTAAAAGTTAACCTAAACAAATTTAATTTTTACCTTAATTCCTCTATTCATTACAAACTGTCATAATAATAATGGATAAATGTTAGAATAATATATATTATAATATAAATAAAAAATTGTGTCTTTTGTAAATCAATTAACAAAATTGTTTTTTCCATTTTAAAAATTTGCTGCCCTTGACAGTAGCTTGTATGGCTTGTGTCTTAAGCCAACTCTAAAAAAATAGATTTTGAGCCAATATTGAAATATTAAAAAAAAAAAAAAATAGAAAGTCATTTGATTATTTAAAGTAAAAGTGAAGAGATGAGTATTAAAAACTCATTTTTACGCGAAAATACAAAATTATTTATATAGTATCTTAAAATACATACACACATATATATATATATAACATTAATGCTCAATCTTGTATATCTATGCATATCTAACTAACCTTGTTGTTGACATTCAATAGCAGTTTTTAAATTATATTCTATTTGATCACAAACAGAAAAGAATTCTTCAATTGCTTTTTCAAATCTTGGATTTGGTACATCTACAGTTTTAAGAAGTCCTGTGTCAATGTAGTGATTTTGTTGTAGTGTGTAAGAAGCAGCACGCAGAACACAGTTTAGTGAGTCTTTAAGTTGATTCACTTGAGTTTTTACCTTAGAGATATTGTCCAGTTTTTCTTGTTGTTGTTGCTGTTGCTGTACTTGTTGCATAGGTGGTCCTTGCGGGGCTGATGATGGAAATACTGGCATAGACATATTTTAATTTTTTGCTGATAGTCTCAAATACCTAAAAATAATTAATTATAAAAATTAAATCGAAAAGTGATAACTTGTTTTAATTTCAATTTTTTTTCAAACAAATAATGAAATTATATTGACGCTGACTATTAATTAAATTTTAAAGATTATAATCTATAATTACTTACAAATACTTATGAAATAAATTTGAAAAAAGAGTTTAATGTATATTCAAATATTAAACGAACCAAAAATTTTCATATTGAATACTTCTTTCTTTATCACATTTACTTAAGTGGCAAAACTGGAGTATATATGTTCATGTTGGTAGTAATGATTACATTCGAATGATAATGTTTCATCTAATCTGTACTTACCGCAGCTGGTTCTATGCCGCGGGCAGTCAGTCATTACTATGTGCTTCAGTTGGGTTGTACGTTTTTTTTCTGTCTGTTATCAGTTAAGTGCACTGGTTGTCATTTTTAATATTATTATTTAATTAAATTGACCAACGTCGTATTCTCATAGTGTCTTAGTTAAACCAAACAGACAACCAGTAATATGGCCGAAGATGACGGAAATATGGAAGAAAACAATATTGGAGATTTGAACACTAAGTTTGGTCTACGTTTACGTGGGCGAAAAGGTGCCTTGAAAAAGAAAAATGTTTACAACGTCAAAGATCACAAGTTTATACCAAGATTTTTTAAGCAGCCTACATTCTGTAGTCATTGCAAGGATTTCATTTGGTAATTTTTTTTATATCATTCATAGGAAATACTGTTTGAATATTTGATGATTTAGGACCATTTTTTTGTACAATTAATAAAAAATCCTTAATTAATTTGTACGTAAATATATATTTTATGGCTTGATTCGCAATTAAATGATAGAAGTAAATTAAAAATATAAATCTATATCCGCACTTAAGGCAAGTGTTCTTAATAGTACTAGATGTTTAAATATAAAAGAAATTTAACTTTCCTTTAAAGCTAGGTTATAATTAATCAATGATATGATTTGATTAATGTGAAAATTAAATTCTAATCAAATTGTATGTGTAATGGAGATAAACAAATTGCAAAATCTTATTAAATTATTTTTGTATTATTGTTAGATGATAAATTACTTGAACCTAACCTCTCTTCTCCGGATGAAATGGCTGAAATAAACTTTTAAACTTTTTTACTCTTATTCATTTTGTGTGTGTGTGTGTGAAAACTGCGTATTTTCAATAATTAGCTTTTTTTTATTGACTTATCGAGAAAATTAAATGATTTATATAATACAAACAAAAAATAAAAATTGATAATCTATGTGGTTTTTTTAAACCATCAATTTCGTGTACTTCTAACATTAGTATATTTTATATTTATATAAAGTTTTAACTAGCTATGCACGAGCATATATCCAAAAAATCAAAATGTCTTTCTGAAATTGACATAATTGTAGGTTAAAAGGAGAATACACGCATTTATATTTTGTTTGTTTTTATATACCTTTAAAAGTAATCCTGAATATTGTGCCTGTTTTCAAGTTGACCCAAAATATTTACAGGATATGTAATTTGTAACAAAATTAAAATCGATTATTCGCTCGATATATGTTCATGTTTCAATAAGATAGTAATATATCGAGATAGAATTTATGGGAGAAGAGTCTAGGATATCTAGAACCCCTAAAAATCTATATATGTACTAATATTTTATAAATGTAATACACTTTGTTATTAAATTGCTGAAATATTTTTAAAATCTGTACGATTATGATTATGGTAAGTATCAATGATTTGAGGAGTACTATTGAAAAAATAATCGATTTTTATATTGGTACAAATTTTCATCGTCTAATACGTATGGTGCAAATTACACTTCGCGTTTTTCATTGCCTATAGTGATGCAAATTACAAGCTTCCGATGTTTTCTTAAAGTAATAATTTACTTTATATTCTCGTTTATGAGTATTTTTTTTTAAATAGTATTTAATAACAATCTATACGTCACCTTCGTTTTCAATTTGTGTTTCTTTAAATAAAAGTATTTTGTTTTACTCAAAGTTGTGTTTCATATTTATATCTTCAAGTTATTTGTAGTATTGGTTGAATTTCGTTATATAATATCCTTGATCATCTCGTAAATGAAGTTTTCATTATTTTGAATCTAAAATTTTCACTGGTTTTCCATTGATACGATGTACTAATTGGCATTGTGTAGGACTATTTCAATTATTCGATGGAATTTTGAAATACATAAAAATAACTAAAATAAATTATATTTAATAATAAATTTGTGTCACGTTTTCTATAAGGTTTTTTGTTTTGAAATTACAAAAATTAAACACCGAACATTATTTATTTGCTTTTTAACGAATTAAAATTCTGGATAAGTGAGTGAAATTTAATTATTTTTCATCACCAGTTGATTTGCTTTAGAAATTTTTGTTAGAAATGAGTTTGTAAGAAGTATTTTATCGAGGTTTAATCATGTTTAATTATGTAGTGTTATTAAAAAAAATTAAATTTGCACATATTTCTAAGATAATTGTTATTACTTTTCCAAAAAAATGTTAATACTTTTTTATATTTTGTTTAGAAAATGTTTTGTATTAGATTTTATAATACTTGATAGAAATATCTGTGTTTCACCAAAATAACTATATTTGCATGGGTAATTTGGGTCATCGTGTCGATCAACTGAACAATTTTTGTCTTGTACGATTATGTTTTAAAGTTAATTTGTAAACATTTAAACAATAGTAGTAGTCATACTACATTTATACTTGTTAGTCGAAACATTGTAAATTCGTAGTCGATACTTAGAAAACAAAAATAATGGTCAATATACTAAACGGTACTGACTAGCGTTTATTGAGCGTTGAAATAGTTATTTTTTCTTTATGTGGGCGTAGGACGATAATAATATCGACGCGTAAAATGTATGCAAAATTTAAACACAAAGAATGCTTATTGAAATAGCATTGTGATTTAATGACGTTATCTCGTGTATAATATGATGGTAAGTCAGTGTACATCACGTTTCGATATACCTCAAAAGTCATTATTCATAATTTTCTAAAGCAATTTTAAATATTGTGTATTATATGTTTCATTATCAATAAGTTAGAATTTATTGTATTATTTTGGCATCTTATATAAGCCAATACGTGTATGTAAAATTTAAAACAATCAAATTAATAAAAATACGTGTTCTCTAAAACCGTAAAACTTGTAAACACTTAACACTTGTAAGAACAGACTTGTTTTTTACGTCTATTAATGGTTTTTAACAAAAATAGTTTTCTCAACATGTATTTTATTGTTAGTTAATTATTTTGAAACTGGATATTATAATAGTAAATAGAAAAAACATTTTTTGGCTAGTATAATTTAAAATACAAATTTGTTCACATAATTTTCGAAATGTAGAAAAACAATTTAAAGTTTATTCTTGTAAACTAAGTTTTTTTTAAAAAATATACGTCTAAATATTTTAGAAATGATCTGTTTTTTGAATAATTAAGTTTAATAATCATAGAATTTAATAAATGTTATGATTTTAATTTAGTATATTAATAAAAATCTAAATTTGCACGTTAGAATTAGACTAAAGCAAGTCTAAAAATTATAATTTCAGGTTTTATCATTTTTGAATGCAAAATTAAATTTTACATCGATTCATATCAACAGAATTTTGTTATGATAACCTCTTTAGAGGTATAAGAGTTTAAATTCTAACATCAGTTTGCGCAAAATAAACGTAATTCGATATAAATCACATAAAATGACTAATGATCACTAAATCAATTATGATAAATGAACTATGTAATTTTTTAATGTAGACCACCAATAATATTAGTATACTATTTTTTATTTCAGTTTTTAAAGCAATTTTTAAAAAAGTTAGATCTTTCTGTTTTTATGCTTTTCTAAAAAATGGGCTTAATATGATTTACGCTAGTTTAGTTCTGAAGTATAAAAATGATCTATTTCTAATAAAGTTTAGGATGATATAAATTAACTATAATTTTGGTTATAAGTGTTAAATTTGTGAATACATTTTTTATTTATTAATCATAAACTAGTCAATTTGTGAATTAAGTGACATCAAATATTAATTTAATTAAACATCAGTACTTATAACGATATAATCTTATCTGTAAGAATTATGAAGGTTATTTTAATTAGTAGCTTTATTTATTTAAAAAAGGATGGAATTAATAACATATATGTATATATATATATTTACTAAATATTCTAAAAATACAGTAAAGCAAAGCCTCATATAACCTTTCTTCACTATTCAATTCTGAAAAAATCGTAGAATAAAAGTGTATTGTTTAAATTATTAAATAAATACTTTTATACCAACATAAAATAATCTATAACTTTTTTGTGTAAATCTCCTTTAATAATTAAATTGTTTAAAAGGTTATTTACATTAAAATATCTAATAAAATGTATAGTTGTTAGTCAAATTAACAATTATTTTTATACTAGATTGTCATTTTTTTATGATTTCGTAAATTTAGACTTTCTCGCAATAATTTTTAGACTTCAAAGGTAATCCTAAAATCACTATAATGCATACATTTTATTATTTAATAATATAATAATCATAAGTATTATTGTGAACAATTTTAAAATTAAATAAGAATTATCTTTACTCATATATCAGGTTACAATAGCAAAATATTTTTTTGGATATTTATATTGAGTATTAAAATTGTTATGTATGCTGAACATTTATCGTGAAAACTCCAGTTTACTTGTATGGCTTTTAATGATGACCTAAATACAATATGTTCAAATCTAAAGGGCTTCACGAAGGAACACTAACTAAAAGCATATTACGTAACAAAAATTTCCGTTGGGAAATAAGTAATTATATAAATATCGTCCTTTAAATCAATTTTAAAATTGTTTTAATGTATTTATATTATCAAATCTGTCAAAAGCAGCACTTTTAGCTGACCAGTTCAAGTTATTAAACTTTTAATTATGGGCTAACTAAACCTGTTAATGAAAGATTTATTTTTTGTTATTTATCAATCTCAAAACTGAGTATTCAATGATATTTTAGAATGAAAAACAAATACAATTTTTTTGTTGAATATCTTATAAAATAAATAACTAGATAGAAATACCTTTATTGGTACTTATTTATTAGAATTATTGATATTTAAAATGATATTTTAATGTTATACGAAATATTTAAAAAATAAATATCACAGTATTTTTTAAATGTTACTTATATTTAATATATTCTCTTAATGTTATTCTTTGTTATAGAGATGAGGAAACTTACGTATCCAACGCAACAAAATCGTACCCGTTTGTACACATAGATGCGTTCCCGACCGAATTATGTAGTACCTTAATTTTAATAGCTATTAATTCAAATAGCATTGAATTTTCTTTATCAAAATTGCTAGGTTCTAATTATTTTACTTTTAAAACATATGTTTATTTATGGTTTAAATTAAAGAATCAAAAAAAGGGAAGTGCATGATATTTCTTTATTGATATTAGACGGCAATAATAGTTGGGTTTTAGGTTAAAAAAGAATTTGAGTTGATCCTTATTATAAATTTAAATACCTAGTATTATTATGAGATTATCATGTATATTTTGGTACGTAATGTTTTAGTTAACGATCGCAAATATGAATTCCCCTCTAAAAGTTTAATACCTTTTCATATTATAGCCATCACCACATATATTTGTCGGTTTCTATCTGTTTGGAATGGTATT